CATATGACACCAATAACAAAGAAAAAAATGCCTGAATCCCCAAATTTTTACGAAATTTTCCTTTAAACTATTATATGTTGGTTGCTCAATAATGAAACTTTGATGCTGAAATTATCTAAACTTACAATGAATAGTTCTAAAAATATGAAAGAACAAATCCAATGATTGACCTTTAAACTTCACTTATAATGCAACAGCGTAGGAAGCGAAACATTTCTAGCATAGGAAGCTAAACATTTCTAACAGAAATACAAAAAATATCAATAAAATCTAATTCTTACAATGTGAAATTATTTATAGTATGGAGTGAAGTAATAATCAATTATCAATGTATAACATATTGTTACACTTCAGGTACTGTAAGTGATTAACCTTTGCCACTGGTATAGAACAATGCCAGTATGCACACCTGTACAGTATGACCAGGGGCTTTAAATTAGAGGCATTTTGGTATATTTTTTGATATGCAATCCCCGGGGCTTATTTTAATTCAAAGCTTAAATTTATTTTTCACATATTCACATATTTAGTATAAAATCTTATTAAGTCTTTTGGTATGTATCAACACAGGGGCTCTCTCTTCTCTAGTATTCACCTTACCAACTGTTGCTGTCCCCCACCATTCTCCTTTCAGAGGTAACAGTAACATAACCAGTATGGGACGCCCAAAATCCCTCGAGTAACTGTATAATGCTCTATACAGAGGACATGCCTGAAATATAAAATTTTTTATATGTTTCATATTACCCTAATAAACATTAAAGTAAAACATTAAATTTAAATGCATGAATCATTTAAAAAGCTGGGTTTTTACTTTCATATCAAAAACTGAAAAGGAATATGGAAATTTCCAAAAAATGGTATTAACTATATTTTTAAAATAATCTTAGAATCTACAGCAACAAAAATTTTTAAAAAACTTATTGCTAACTACTATTAGATATTTGTTTTGGGTAACCATTTTGTTCCATTAGTTATTATCTAATTTTCAGCATTTTTAAAATCAATTACTTTGAAGATACATCTTCTCTATAAAATGAAACATATACAACATTTCGAAAAAAATACAGATTCTTGGATTTATAAACAATAACTAGTGGGTTTCCTTGCCCTATCTAGAACAGAATATTCCTGGGTAAATGATAGTGCGGGACAAAAAACATGATGATTTAACTGTCTGGTTTAAATGTCAAGGTAACAATGTCCGTCTGTAGCACCCCCAACATCATCCAAATTGACAAAAATTCCACCTGGGTTGAGTAACTTTCCCAATACCTAAAGTAACAGACAATTAGCAAGTGTATAGGCAGAAGGAAATCAATAAACATTATAATAATCCACAACCCCAAAAATACACATTTTTATCTTTTTTAGGTGTCATGCCACTGTGTAGGAGCAACATATTTTGCATTCGTCTTAGAGATTTATTTTTATAATACCGTTTTTTTCACTTGGTGCTGAGATACCACTATTTGTCAGACGTTATATAGCCTAATATAAAGTTTTATGACTTATTCAGTTTATGTACAATTAACAGACATATCTCACATATACTAAAAGTTTTTATACATTATGTATGAATATAATCCTGTAAGAGACATGTGAACCATGTTCTCTCACTTTTTTTGATCGAATCAAAGTGCTGATCATGCTATCGACCTAAGCTTGATGTGTAAAAGAGACCCAGTGCGCAAAACCAAGTTATCCACTTAAAACGCCAGTATTTGAGTTGGAGTATTTCCTCTTCTGAAGGGGCCTGGTATCACTATTTGTAACCTTAGGGCTTGGTGTCTGATGTCATGGTGTTCTGCATGCACTCAGCAGGAATGGGCTAGTTTATTACGAACATGACAACTATATCTTTATAAAAAATGTAGTATAACAATACAAAGATGCTTGCTTTGATATTCTGCAATAAACTTCTTAATCTGTTATGTTCTAAAGTTTTCATTTTTCTTTAATATTTTTTTTACTTACAGTTCGACTAATATAGTTACAGTACTATGTATGTCCCTCATTCTATCTTATAAACTGTATATTTTTTAATTGTACTTAACCTACCAGTATAAAAAAGTTAATGGTTCCAACATTCATGAAGGTTCTATCATATTAATTACCTCTGTTGAATATCCAGGGACAGTAACTCATTTGGTGAATGATGACTAAGTAGGAAAAAAGAAAACAGAGAGGCAAGCCAATATAAGATGAAGTGACTCCGTTCTCCAGACACACTTCTTGTCGGCGCTGAGCTAAGCACAAATCAGTCATATACTGTTGTCCAGGGGTGTTGTTATCAAACACCGGAGACTATTCCCAAAGCACATTGATATGGTATATGTTGGCTAATAAGAGAGCAGCTATAGCAGATGTTAGTATTTGACCTAAATGAAAAATTACCATTTGTGTAAAGCAAGCAACCAACAACCTAATAAGTTACATTTAACAAACACCAGCTATGTATCAATATATATATAAAATACAACATCTAAGAAATTGTTTAGTGTTACTTACATTTAAGTAAATACATTTGTTTCCATTTGTGACATATTTCTAAATCATTCAACAAGCAAAAAAATCCTTTCTGTCTTCTTACTGTTATACACTATAACAACAATATTGAATGATTGTACCAATTAATTTGTAAAAGTCTTTATAAAGAATAATTACAATGCCACACGGTTGATTTCTTTGATAAAAATTGAAATTAATTCAAATATTTGCAGGAGCAGAGAAAGAAATGTAACAATTGGCCAATACAATGCAGTATTATAATACTAATCATGACATGACAATAATTAAATATAGAATTTACCTCCACCGCCATTCATCATTGTTATTAAACCCAGCATCAGTCGTAGTCACACCTACTGGGCTTCTCATCCTCGTCTCTCGCCACAGTAACTATAATCATTCGGCATACAATCCTGGTAATCTAGAAGTCTCGAACGAAGACCAAAGCACACTTAGACGCTTTAGATGAGAAGTTGTGGTTGTAATTTAGTATGAGGGATTTCCTTATAATAAGATCAATTATGACTACTCTGAGAGAGCACAAGGGGATCAGTTATTCGCTTCACAATAACTGTAAAAAAATAACTTGCTCAGCTAATGGCCTATAAACATTGATTTAATGAACTAAAATCACCTAAAAGATTTAAATATTATTTTATTTATTCTAAAGAGTGGTATTATGTTTGCTACATGTATGAGGTAAATAAATTTATAAATTGCAACGTTAGAAATTAATTTTCTATATTATTAGTATTGAGTACGCCATATACTTGGACATCTTCCTGAGATAAGAATCACAGTGATCGCTCATTAGTCGTTGGACGGTAGGTACTCCAATTGACCACAGTTACATTGGTGTGATTCCCCAGACTCTGACTGAGTTCATATTGACGTGATATCTCGCGATATGAAGGAGAGGCAGATGTCCGCCAGTAATGGCTAACCATTACTACTTGCAAACACTTGTAGGGTGTTTGGGAATGGTGGTGACGCCATAACAACATCGTACTGGTATCCTCATCAGGATATCAGTAAGAATCTGAAAACAATGGCCAACTGAAATAATGTTTTGGTCGAATAAACAGCAATTTATACAAATCATGTAAAGTAAATTTTCCAGCATTATACATTCGGATTTGTTTTACTTGAGCTTTTGATTTCAACATGGTTGTGGTCTACACAGCGATTAAAAGGTTTTAACTCACTCTGTTTATCAATATACAGCTGAATACACATACATATTCATTTTTTTCAGTGCAAAATCTTTAAGTTTTAACTAGTAACAGTCCTGCTCACCAAAGAACGATATTTGCGTGACGCTGTTCAGCTCTAACAGACACGTTTGGGGCTTGGATATATATATGTACTCAAAGTTTTACCTGTTTGTAGGAAACTGGTCAGCATTCTGCAACTCGTGTACGCGCTATAACTTATATCTGATGTGAACAACATTGACTTGAGCTTAGGCCTTAGACCCTTGTAATACCCTGCACACATTAAGCAGTGGAGACAGAGAGTGACATCTCGCATTGGAAGTGATTTATTGACTCAAATTGAGAGATAGGACAGTTATTCCAATGAGATTTTGAAAATTTACTGTATTGAGTAAATTTAAAGTAAAATTACAATCGTTTAAATGAAATCTTAGAAATTTGAACGTTATCTATAGAAGTGAATTACGATTCATATCAATTATTTTGACTTGGTAGAGTGCAACGTTGTCTTCCCTAAGTTTCCCTTCCTGTGATTAAACTTTCCTAGTTACTGTTGTAAATAAAAGTGAAATAAAGCAAAGATAATCATAATTGTAAAAACTTATATTCCTAATCACAAAAATTAACAACAACAAGAGCTGTCACAGGAGACAGCGAAGCTCGACTAATAAAAATACTGGACGCAGTAAGGAGGACAAAACTATGAAAGAAAATCATTATGTATAATTATGTATTAAGTTTATAGTAAAAAAAATAACAATTTGTTAACATAAATTCCAAGATCAATGGGGAATAATTATAGAAATTAGTCATGCTAGAGTTATGGATCTTGCACAAACATTTGTGTAATGATAAGAAATATATATTTGAAGTTTTGAAGTAGATACCTTAAAAAGTAAAGAAGTTTATATTTTCTTAAAGAAAATCCTAAGTTCAAAGCGGTGAGATAAATCTGTAAATATTGCTTCAACTGAGTTAATGATACACATTGTCACATAAAATGTAATTAATGATAAGGAATAAGTATTTGAAGTTTGAGGTAGATACCTTTAAAAATAAAAAAGTTAAATAAAAATAACATTTTTCTAGTAAATAAATCTAAGTTTATGGGGAGATAATTCTTTGCAAATAATTGGTGTTAGAGTTATGAACCTTGTCATACATAATAATGTGGATGATGATAGCCACGATATAAAATTATATTTGAAGTATGAAGTTATATTTTGATCCCTTTAGAAAAATAATGTATATGTTACAGTTAAATAAATAATATTTTTTATGGATAAATTCTAAGTTACAAAGGGAGAATTGAAATCTGAAAATATTGGGTGCTAGAGTTATGAACCTTGTCACATAAGATGGGGGATGATGATGAACATAAATATATTTGAAGTATGAGGTCGATCCCTTAAGAAATAAAGAAGAAACAGTAAGAAATAGTATTTTTTGAGGTATAAATTCTAAGTTCAAGGATGTGATAGAACATAAATCTGATAAATATTGGTGCTAGAGTTTATGAAATCCTTGTCACAAAAGATGGGGATTGATAGATAAGTATGTAGCATATAGCATTTGAAGTATGAGGTCGATCCCTTAAGAAATAAAAGAAGTACGATAGTAAACAAATTATTCAGTATTTTTTAACGAAAATTCTAAAGTTCAAGGGAATAGATAAAATCTAGAAAAAATATTGGTGCCTAGAAGTTATGAAACCTTGTCACATAAGGATGTGGTTGATGATAAGGAACATATATTTGAGAGTTTGAAGTTGATACCTTAAGAAATGACTAAAGTTATAGTGAAAAAAATATTTTACTATGACACCCAAAACTTTAATCTAAAATCTGGACGCGGACGCGGACGCCGACGTTGCCGACGCCGGGGCGAGTAGGACAGCACTCTCCATATACTTCGTTTGTAATTGTATAGTCGAGCTAAAAACTTACTTGTAATCAATAGTTTATGGTTAAGTCGAAAGCAACTGGAATGGAAAGATGCTTAGACAGAGAATCATTGTTGCGACCCCTTCTTGTTGGGGGGACGAGGGGGGCAATGAAGCCTTTGAACTACTAGGTGTAGTATTTGCTGTTGTAACATTTTCGACCAGAGGTGGCTCTTTTGGAAGCTGACTTGAACTTGTTTTATCTAGCCATAACTTGTATCTAATAATAAACAAAATAATATACATGTAGATTGATACACTCACTACAGGTGTGAACGTGGATGAATATGGGATGGCTGAGTTTTAAAATAAATACATCATATAGGTTCAAATGTGTAACAAATCTCAATCTATACAAAATAAATGACATGCGTCTTATCATTTAACTTGCACTAAAAAGAATTAAAATAAGAAGTCAATGACTACCTGACTTTGCCTAACATGAGATCTTTTTCTATGACATCACAAGTTCGTAGCCCTATCTGGAGATTTCATGTGTGCTTTACTTTATGACTATACTGATTTCTCCCAGTCTGTTCATAGCTATAATATAATTGTTGCTGCTAAACTTGTGTAGCATTGAATGGCACTAAAATAAACAAATGAACTGTGCCACTATAACTATTCTTCAAAGCAGTAAAATAACTGCAGAAGCTGTGATTGAGATTTATGTGTATCTTTATATAGAGATATGTCATAAAATATAGTACACAGAAGACATTAAAACACATAACAAAATTGATGCAATTTTAATTTCTCATTTGATATTTATTTGTGAGTTAGTCCAATGAACTAGCAGTAGCATATAGAAATGTGGATTATTACACAATTTAATATGAAACTGAGAAATTACCATACATTTGTAATAAGAAGCCTTTACTAGTCACGACTTTAGGTAAGGAGCGAGTAGTAGCCTGATACTATTGTTTAATTTTTTTCTCACCGAGTTCACCAACAGTAATATGCATATTGACTTGCCATTGGTCCTGAACTGCCGTCTGCTTCAACTGTGGGTGCTGAGACAGCACTGAGGTGTGGTACGTGTATCGTGGTTTGTTCGGTGCAGCCCGGAATGCCACACAGAACATTATCATCTTCAAGAAGAGAACTGTAGGCAATAGTCGTCTAGTGAATCCAGACAGTGGACCAATTATATTCACAACTGTCGATGATAAACACGGATAACACATTGAATCTCGCTACAGTTGATTCGAATATTTTTATGTTCATATATTAAAGAATAAATATCTGTTAACGAAATTATATTGGTCATTCCATCTTATATTTTCTCACGGAGTCATGGACTAGCAGCTAATTGCCTGTAGTTATAATAAACTAGAAACTATATTTTCATAGCAGTGGAAATATCTTTAACATAAATGTAATATTATCAAAATGGCTCATATTTTTTTGTACATAATTCACTGCTTTTATATATCAAAAATTTATCTTGTAAATAATGTTTAAAGAAGAATAGTTAATTCCAGTATACCAGCTTTATTAGTAGATCCCTGTTCTTTGATGACATCATATAGAACTTTAGCAAACAACATCTGGTTAGGTACATGACATGATATTACACTCCGGAAAAATTTAACCGACGCTGTTTCTATACACGCTCTCTCTTCTGCTGAGATCAACTGATAAATAAATATACAGAACATAAACATGCTGAACGAATATAATCACTATAAATGCTTGTTAACATTGCCTTTTATTACATAAAAACTTGTTATATAAGAGGTTAAGTACAAAACTTATTCTGGATTTAAATCATATAGCTAATCTCTCATAGTTTACACATGAAACTATTGCACCTACATTTAGTGACTGAAGATAAATATAATTGCTTCTTTGTTACTGTGGTACAGCTTTGAGATGTTAATTTTGTTATGATTTAAGGCATGCACTATCTCTCAAATTTTCTAACTTAAAGCACCTCTTGGTATTATATTAAATCTAAACCTAAATAGACACAGTTGGCTTGTGTTCAAAACCTTTTAAATAGAAATAACATAACAGGCATATAAAAAATTAAGACAGATACATTTACCTCAAATTTTTGTGGGAACGTAGTGACAGATATGGGACTGTGTAAAGGTGTATTGCACAACATTGTTAGAAGTACCGGCCAGAATATGTTACCATCAGCACCACCCAGCCAGTCCTTCATAGCCGGTAGAGATGAGATCTCAGAGAAAAAATTTAATACTGCAGATACCATGTCAGCTGTCACCATCAAACCTTTAACATATAACATAACCCCATTTATTAAAACTACAGAATGAGAGCCTCTTTACTGACCTAAAACGATAATGTCACATCAATATTTCAAAACTTAAATTTTAGCTCCTTTAACTATTAGCATTACAATAATATAAGACAATACAATGAATTTATAAGTTAGGGAAAAGATAATTAGATCAAACTTCGGATACCAATATAAGCGCATAAAAGACTTATGTTTGCAAATGCATTATTAGACTAATGATCTTATAAGTGAAATAAGGTTAAAATCTGCTGAGTAAACTAATAAACCAGAGAATTTAAATATTTCAAAATTAAGATTAAGTAAGTCTTTATAATTCCTAATGAATTGTTCTTAAGATTGCTCCTTTATACTACATGTTGACATTTTTTAATAAAATCTTATATATGACATCAACTTTTACCGAAAGGGTGTAAATTATTTCCTGTAGTTTACCTGTGTGGTTATTAGTTGTACTTGTGCTATCCCCAGTTGTTCCAGTCATACTCTTACAAGAATCTGAGATTCCCTCGGGTTGTGACCATGAATCAGCGAACGTTGATATCACACGATTACAGAACTCAAACAATCCCTGAGCCAATACTGCTGGGAACCCTGACTCTAACAACTGCTTGGTTGCCAGGGACGACTGACAAGCTAATGCTAGAGTAAACAAATGACTTTCATCTAAACACATATGTTTAAACTCCTGTAGAATGATGGGAGTTGAGGGTTCTGATTCAACTGTCTGCCCTAGTGCACTATTTGCTTCCTTTGAATCATCAGTCATTAAATCATGGTAACGTGAAGTGTCCTTTCTATCATCAGGTATTGACGCAGTCAAACCATATTCTGGAGTTATCACAATTCCCATCCATTCCATTATTCGTGTGAACGAGTCTGGACAGATGTGACATATTGCACAAAGAACATAATCTACAGCCTTCTTCAGGTATGATTCTGTGCTCAACACAGATGACCACTCATATAACGAACTGAAACAAGGAAAGAAAGGATATAGTTCAGCAATATAACATTATCTCCTCAATGCTGAATCATTATATCTAATGATATAAATTAAAACTTTAAATAACAAGTTAAAACAACCATTTTCAACATGTGCAAGTCCCCAGTTATTTAAGTAAGCATATAACAACATAATACATAGTTATTTCATTTTACCATTTTTGTTGTTTTTTTCCCGACAGACAATTGTAAAATTTGTTTCTAAAAACATACCTGACTAGATCTTTGGTTACTAGGTGACTAAGGTTATAATCCACTCTGATTTCATTACTGTGCCACAGTACAGCTGCTATACAGTGGATATGAGAAGGTGCGGGGCCTGGCAGGGTCATATTGGTGACCTCACGAGGAACATGTCTAAATCCATCATCAGAGAACACTGCTTTTCTTTGTAATGCTACACGTGCACTGTCACCTAACCACTGCAGCATTGCTTTTAACCTAGAAAAAAAGCGTATTTCGTGTTTTTATTTAAATCTGTTTTCACTGCGATTCTATTACATTTTTGGTCATATCTTGACACGCCTACATGGCTTTCCTGAATAAATAAGTTATTACCAATTTCTCCGGGAGTGACAGACTTCTACTATAACATGATTTCCGAATCAGTGGTGTAATACAAATGACCGTTAGACTTAATGTCCAAGATAAATTGTTACAGAGAAATTTCTCCTCACCAACAAGCACTGGATCACAAATCTACTGTTCTCACAATACAGAATAAAAGATAACAAAAAACAGATATTTAACATGTAAAAACATTAATCTTTGATTAACATACAAAATTTGTTCTCCAAAAATTATATATACATGTATTGGTATTAAAGCATAAATATAAGTTTACCTATCAGCTGTCCATCTATCTTGTACAGTGCCTAGTTGGTACAGAATTTCTACAGTAGATTCATTAGCTATACCTCCCATTTTACCCAGGTACTGAGATGATAATTCTAAAACAATACAAACACAAGCCACTTCATAAATGCTACAATGTAGAGTATTTTCGATTTATCTAAAATCTATTAATTACCGATACAATACAGAAATTTTTATTATAAATCAAAATATAGACAGTACTCTTTGAAAATCAACATTTAATAATACAAATGTTGTTTATATTTCTTTATAAAATTTGTTATTTCTTATATATTTACAAATATTTTGTAGTCCATAATCTTGTAAAGATTTATAAACATTTTATTTAAGAAATCAGGAAATAAAAATCTTATTAAGTAAAGTACTCACCATTGTCAGAAACAGAAGAATTACTACGCAGTATATTATCTATGAGTGCAAGACCAAGCTCTCCCGAGTGGAGACCAAGTTTCTGTAGTACAGCCTCTATTGTTGGAGAGTATACAGTAGATATAGGGGAGACTAGCAGTGCTGTACATGTGTTCAGGAGACCCCGAGTCGGGGCTGCAGCTTCTGCCACCATACTTTCCATCTCTTTCTGTGATACCAGGCAGTGATGTAACAATCGTATCCACCCAACACTGAAGTATTACCATAGAAATTTCATTAAATTTACAATACTGTACAAATATATATATCATAGTCATTTTTTTGCCACTGGCTTAATTTTGAAAAGTTAACATATCAAATCTATAAAGTTTTTGATAACAAGTCATTACCGGTGTAAATTCTTTTGTTAAATGCAGTTTCTGTATTCAAATAAAGTCAGTAGTTAATATAAATCTTCACATTCAACCATTTTCATTGAAAAATAGTGCAAGAATCTTGTTTGATTACAAAAACATAATGACTAAGAGTTTAATACAATGGAATGGTACCTTGATCTGGAGACAAAGTCTTCAGTAGGTAAGAACAAATTGTTTGGTTTATAGCCAACTTCTCCAAATGCACTGTAACCCATGAGTAGTATCTGTGACAGCCCTATTGTCATGGAGTCTCGTGCCCTGTGTAACCTTATTGTCACCGAGGTAACAACCTCTGACCTCTGTAACTGTAACTTGATGAAGACAAGACTGCTTGTGTTCATAGGGGCACAAAGAGGGAAAGTAGTGACACCGTCTTGACTGGCTTCCAGTGAGATATATGCTGGACATGCTGAATAATAAAGAAAATACTCTTGTTAATATAACAATATCAATTTTTTAAATAATACTAATCATGCTTATGTCAAAAATACTTGGAAGAGCATATAAAGCATTTATAAATGATTTGCTTATACTGATAACACAACAAATTTATTTTTTTATCTAAGACTACTGGAAAGATGTAACACTCCTATTCCAAGAATAAAATCAGCATTTTTTACAATTCATATAGTACAATATACATGTACTGTAACAAAAACAGTTTCACTGGTGTGTTGACAATGGTGCTGTTCTGAGCATTATTCAGGCCCAAGCAGGGACCTGGGAAGAACAGGCAACCTTCCCTAAGCTTGTCAGAGTGTTTCTTAATATGATACCTGGTGAAACATATTTCATTATATTATGTAGTTCAGTCACCTTTCACATTGGTGTATCACTAAATGTTTGGTGATATAAGTATAATAGATATATGATCAGAATAAAAATTGGACATACTAGAAAGAGCAGGACTGTGTGGTTGAATCTGTACTTCCTTCAACAGTATAGCAAATGGTAGAGTAATCTTCAGATCTACCCATGCCTCATCAGGGTAGAAATGATATGACCAAGGTGCCGATCTTGCTCTCCTATGTTGTGGTGTAGACACAATTAGAACCTCGGCAGGAGATGCTGTAGGGCTACATGATACTATTGTACCTGTAAAATATATATGTTAAAATATTACTGTACTAAGCTCACCCTTTTTATATATCAATGAAAATTGTAGATCTGGATTTGTATGATGCAAAAATCTAAAAAGGTTGATCTGACATTGTTGTCATATAAATAACAAAATTCTTTAATGTCGATGTAGTCTGTACTGGTATATTTTTTCCAGTTCTATAAAATCAAGGAAATTATAACATACCAAGTGGAGCAAAGTTTTGTATCCCCTCGGTATTTTCTGACTCCCATTTTTTCCTCTTGTCAGTACTGGCCTGTCCATTCATGTTCTGCATAATGGTGGAGATTAGACTCGGGCTGGTACTGATGATTCGGCTGTTACAGTTCACAAAGTTACGGCATACAACTTCCACACCACCTAAACAATAAGTTATCAGTATTATTGTTTTAAAACATACTTGATATTAATCTAAATTAACAACACTGTATAGGTCATATGGTGACTTTCAAGCTTCATTGGTGGAGGAAGAGCGCAGGTGCCCCTCCATGAATTATTTCAGACACAAATAGGCGCCTGAGTAGAACCACCAACGTTCAGTAAGCTAGCTTGATAGCATCCAAAGTCTCTCACAGTGATGAGGAGAAAGTGTTTGAAGTCAATGACCTTAACCACTCAGCCACAAATGCCCCATGTTCCTTTTCAAATGAGCATAATTCTGATATTATTTATTATTTTTCATTTGTTGAGTCAAAAAAATGTCCATACTAAGAGTAAAATGTAAAAGCTACCTTTCACTTCAATTTATACAATGTGTATTCATCTTATCAAAACTAGATATGCAAACATTTTTTTCCTTTCTAGTTTATTTGTAATTGTAATGTGTGCATCATATTATTGTAAGAATTAAGTAACAGTTTAAAAATCTTTATAGATGTTATTGTTCTCACCTTTATCAAGGAATAGTTTCAACATCTTTTGAGAGTGAAGCACTTTGAGTATAAACCAGAGTAGAGGTTCTGAGAGTCGGCACAATGATGGGGCTCCATGTGACATAAAACCTCCAGAGAGATATAGAAATAAAGCTTCCATCAAATGTCTACTGTCACTACACTGTCTCGACAATGTTACAAGTATCTGGTATATACCATCACCAACAGATAGAGGATCACCTCCAGTAAATGAGTCAAGCATGTTGCTAGGCATCCCACTGCTGCCTAACAACATGGCCATTGTACTGCTGTTACAATAACTGAGAGCTTGTATAAAGTTACACATTATCGCCCTTCTGTCTAGGATGATATCTGCTAAATTAATTCCTTGTGGTTCAGAACTAGCTCTGTCATGCTGAGCACTTTCAGTCTTTTGTTCATCTGTCTGTGCAGTTTCTGTACGTTCATTTGCCTGACCGACCTTCTCTTCATCAGACTGTCCGGCAAAATTTGAAGCACGAGGTGCGGTGGCACTTGCCAGAGCCTGGGACAATTTAGTTGAGTCAGTGACAGGTTCAGAATGACCTTCACCTAGGTTATCCCCACTAACAGACACTCTACGTCCATATCGTGTCGGGAAGTTCAGTTGTAGTAACTTATTCACAAGTTTTAACAAACTGCACATTAAGGAATCTCTACTACAGTCTCCATTCCTGGATGAACCATCATTTCCCCTGAGTAAACTCGCAAACAAGCCACCAAAACAAGACTTGGCATTTACACCATTGTCAGAGGTACTACGACAGTACACTCTCTCCTGACAGAGTATATGTCTATGGACAAGTATGCTCACTGACTCTATCACACTAATTGCATTGTTTATATCAACCTGTTCATATGTCAACTCTAAAACAAACTCCAGAAACTTGCACTGAGAATCCAGAGGACCAAGACTAGCATGGAAAGCACCCCTAAAATATCAAATTATTAATAACAATATTATAACCAATAATTTCGAAATATTTTCATATACAAACTTAACAAACTCAAATCTTTTACAAAATTTTCAATGCATCATAACAACACTTGGAACATGAATAAAATAAATTCTTAATGAATTTGAAACACACTTTATTGGTACTCAGATAAGACTTACTGGTAACTATTACAACAAGAGCTGTCCATAAGACAGCGCGCTCGACTTTTTTATTGCTTGCCAATAAAAAAAGTTTTTGCAGTAAAAGGCAATACAAGAATCTCTGTATTTTTAAAGTGAACAATGGCCATGAGCATTAAGATATTTAGTGAAGAATTATTTTACTGAATTGTGTAACTTGTCCACCAATCAAATAGGCGAGATAAAATGTGAAATATGCATATACTACTGATTTTAATTTCAAGTACAAAAAGAGAAAAATAACTAGTTGTTTGATACCCTTGAATATTACAGCAATGTTTATATGACATAATTTATGGTAAAGTGAACAAGTGGATAGGAATGAATTTTTTTAGATTTTTTAAGTTTTTTAGTGCTTGCCTATAATACAAAACATTGACAGTTAAGGGCCATAATTCAAATAAAATCTTTGACAGAATTACCTTCTCCTGGACATGTTTGGGAATCATGATTGTAAACAAGTATTCCAACTTTCAAATTAATATCTCAAACAGTTCAGTAAAAAAGTGGACTGGTACTAAAAACTTAACCAAGATTCTAAGTCGATAAAAGGCCTTAATTTTTAAAACAAATCCTTGACAGAGTTACCTTCTCTTGCGTACAGATGGGGGTAATGATGTGAAATAGCATTAAAAGTTTCAAAGCAATATCTCAAAGGGTTAAGGCAATAAGTGGATTTTACCCATATTCAATGTATTTTCTAAGTCAAAAAGGGGCATAATTCTGTCAAAAACCTTGACAGAGTAATGTCCTCTTGTCTGTTGATGAAGGTCGTGATGGTAAACAAGTATGGTCAGTTTCAAAGCAATACCTCCAATGGTTTTGAAATAAAGTGAGGTGGTACAAAAAACTTAACCAAGCTCAATACACTTTCTAAGTCAAAAAAGGGCCATAATTCTGTCAAAAACCTTGACAGAGTTATGTACTCTTGTCTGTAGATGGTGGTTATGATGGTGAACAAGTATGGTAAGTTTCAAAGCCATACTTGTAATACTTCTGAAATAAAGTGGGGTGGTACGAAAAACTTAACCAAGGTGTGACGCCAACGCCGACGCCGACGCCGGGGCGAGTAGGATAGCTCCCCTTTTCATAGAAAAGTCGAGCTAAAAATTCTAACAATTTATTTAATATAACATATTTAAAAGAACAAAGTCAGGGCAAACATGCACATTGTAGGAAAATTTACCTTTCAGCAGAGAGTGTATAAACTAGTTTTAACATAATTTCTGTGAGATTATGTTTGTCATCTTCACCACATATACACACTCTAAGACGCTGTAGAAATAAATTGAAAGCCTTCACTGCTGATGGTCCAACCTATTAATTAAAGTACATAAGTACCATTAATCAAATTATATCTAAATTCTGTATCAATAATAACTGCCTTAAGAGTGGAATGTCTGAACATTTTAGGGGGTGAGATGTCTAAGAAGTGTTGTCTTGTTACCTAACAACCTCTGGTTGGATAAATATCCATATTTCTTTTTCAAGTTTCACATGTTATAGTGTAAATGTAGAAAGAACCACTGATGTTTGTTGAACAGCTTTGCCACAACCTTTCTAACTGAAGTCAAACAGATTACCAAAAAGTTACACAAGTCAGCTACTTTAACCACAATATAATGGAGCTTGAGACAAAGATTTAAACGAAGATTAAGTTGCTTAAAAGCCAAGTACAAAACGGAAATAAAAGCAAACATTCAACTTGCACCTATTTGGTGACTGTTCATGGTCCAGCTTAACATGCATACATAACAGACTTACCTGTGAGTTAGAATCAAAAGATGAGGCTGGAGCACTCATTGATGTTCCAGACAAGAATTTGGTGATAATTGCTACAAGGTTACTATCTCCCATCATTGCTACAACCATTGACCTCTGTTCATCTATTCCTATTCTCAAATTGGCAAGCATTGTTAAACTCTGGAACACTAGCACCCAGGTACGAACTGGTAATGATGGTTGCACAGCAACACAAGCTAGTAGGTTGGTGACAGATGTTACACTGAGAGGAATCACAGGGGAACGACTTGAATCAAACTGTGTTGTATTAGTATCACTAGCATCGTAAGGTGACTCCTCGTTTAACGTGAGCCAAAGCTGAAGTAAGGCGTCCATGTTTACTCGCTGTAGTAATAGTTGGCTGAAGAGATCATCATAAGCACTGCTTAACATCTCAAATGATGTTGTCTGAAATAATAAATAATTATACATTGTAAACTGACAACGACTGCAATATCTACATAAATCACAACCTTAATTATCTGGTAAATCAATTTTGCACCTGCGGTAAATGGTACTGAGTGGTACACTCAAATTTTTTGTTTTAACAATAAGGATAAAAAAATCATGCCTTTTTTAAACCTACTTTTATATATTTTTTTGGTAAAGAAAAACAACTTTAATGTTACCTGTGGCATGCCTGAACCAGTCTCCATCATATCAACATCTGCTGGAGATGACCTGGACTGGGTACCACTACGAGCCTCGAGGGGTGGTAGAGGCAGTGGGGATGTAAAAGCATTCTGTAGAGTATCTGACTGAAGAGATAACATCATGCGCAGTCTCAGCTCACTTTGAGTCTCAAGTCCAAGCTCTAACCTAGAATCTAAAGCTGTTGATAGACCTTGACCGGGTGCAGCTGTACTGGTATTGGTGCTATTGTTGTTGGGTTGCTTTGTGTCAACAATAGGTGGTTTAGGGTAACCAGATGAACCAAACACTGCTTTAATGGCCTTTACTGCCAGCCCTTCTTTCCCTGGCTTATATTTATCCTCCATCTCAGATATTGGCCTAAAATAGTTTCAATAAAACATTCAAACCTTAATGTTTTATCAAATTTCTTTCATTTTCATTTTGACTAATTAACAATTAGAATTTAATAGCTTATACTCAAAATACTTTCAATGGAGACAAAAAGAAGTTGGATAAATCCGCATTAAATCTCCTGTTTTCACCTTGCCTTTTAACTTGAACATTAACTGCTTTCTTAATTCAAAACCTCCATTAGTTGCTATAAGCAATAGGCATTCATGTATAACTAAAACACACATTTTTGTACATGAAGTAAAAACCAAAAAATGAAAGACCCTACTGAAATCAACATAATGTTACATACATTTGATTCATAACAGTGGTGCTGGGAGGTTGGAGGTTTTCACCAGTGACATAAGCATGAAGTTTATCAGGTATATCATCTTCATCATCATCATCTAGTAACATATCTACCATCATTGATGATTCCTTCTCAAAACTTGTACCTTCATCTTTACTCTGATTCACTGATATATCTACAATACAAATATTAATACACATGAAAAATTAACTCTTAACTTCTTTCTATATTTTTTACTGTCATTACAACAGTTTGCTTTTTAATTAATTAATTTTTTAATTCAACAACAATGTAACAAATGGTTACTATCATTCTTTTTACAGAGTTTCAAGTCCTTGGTGACATTTGAACCTTATGATATGGTGTAAGGGATTAAAATCATTGACTAACAATGGGACTACAGACAATGTAATGATATAGGTATTTATTTACCTTGTTCTGTAACTGATGTATCTTGTAGATCAGAATTACTTGCTCCTCCAATAGTAGATAGTGACAAACTCTCATTACCTGAATGTAATTAACACTTAATAATACATATATAACATCATTCTTTCAAAGCATGTTATCAAATTACACATCTAAAATTGTATATTTTAGAATTTCTTACTCTTATTCTATTTATGTACAATATTCATGCGAGTTAAATTACAAAAATCTTCCGAGAATCAATAATAATATCACAGGAACACAATAATTTTACTGTTTCTAAGAATATTTCATTAAATATAGCTTTAAATCCTTTAATCAGTAGATTAATAAGAAATACCTGAACTATCATGTGTGTCTGCAGTAAGATCTAATGTGTTCAGATTTACACTGCCCTGTAAAGAATCATCTGTCACCTGACTAGATATCTCATCATCTGTTATACCTTCATACTGGTTACTAGGGAAAACACGCTCACCTAAAATACAGTAAAGATGCTATTTATTTATTTGTATACATGTTAAACTACAGAGGATAATAAAAAAAAAAATTCTATAAATTCAGGATTTTTTTTTTTGCATCAAGTGGTATGACAATAAATATTTCATGAGTGGTAATACCTACAAGTGAAATATAATACCACATATCACAAGTTGAAAATTAATCTTTCAGTTATAGAAAAAAATTGAATTTTCTGTTTTTTATATATACTTTTTCTCTTTCTGGCCTTATAATTCGAAAGACTACACTGTAGGCAAAAAAAATCTTTGACTTTGGGGACAATTTCAGTTAAACTTATAAGTTATTTCCTTGTCATAGTAAATAGCATGTTTTATTCCTTAGAAATATGAATGTATTACCTTCAAGGATATCTTGGAGTAGACATGTGAGTGCGTGACCAGCCCAGGGTCCTCCCCAGCTGATATTACCATGATTAAATTCTAGACTAGCAGCTAACATGATTAATCTCTCTAGTTGTTCTTGTGTCATTGCTTCAGTCAGTGTAATAGCTGGTCGTGTAGATATACAAACACGTGCCATCACCTATATATACAGATATCATTACGTAATACATTATAATCAGGTATCATTGGATAATATTTCATTTACAATTTCCAAACATTTAAGCTGATTTTACTAGGTATTCAATAGAAACAAGCGCACCACAAGTGTTAAAATGACCACTTTTGACTGAAAAAGGGGCATAACTCCTAAAATACAGCATGCAGAATAATGCCCCTTATCTTACAACTGCCTCTTGTCATGATAAGCAAGTTTAATATTTAATACCTTTAAAATCGTCTGAGGTATGGGCTACATTAAAACTTTTGCACAACCACAACAACATTAAAGACAATGTAGTAGTCATAACAGCTTTTTCTTTGAAACAGACAAGCTAAAAAGACTAAAATTATCATCACTAAATGTGTTTGCTCCTTACTGCTATTTATCAATAAACATTGCATGGGACATCAATTTTTATTTTTTGCGGAAAACAATTTTATATGCTTATGAACAAATCTTTTTTAAAAAGAGTTACTAACATATGAAACAATCTATTGTTAGCATTTCAAGGGGTTGCTTAAGAACATTTGGAATAATTAGACATTATGCTTAGATAAAAATATTTTTGCAATCTTTAAAATAAAAGTTGAATGTAATGTAATGTAATATTAATTACAAAGTTTTTTGAGATCTTCTCTTATTTGATGTTATACATGACAACACAAGATGTGTGATTGAAGATATTACCTTACAAGTGATGAGGAAGAGATCTACGTTACAAGTAAAGTCCATCCCCAACAGGAGTGCCATCAGTCCATGTACCACTGGCAGACATTTCTCTTTTGGCAGAATAAGTACAGAGTCTTGCTCGTAATCCAAGGATTCCTTCTCCTCTGCCAGACGCTCGTCCCTGGGCAGCTTACGTAAAACTTCAGCATCGGTCTTGCGAATCTGGATAATGTCCTTCAAATGCTGAGACAAGAAAAAGATGCCTCTCAGACTGACTACAGGTAATGCATGCACAAAAAAATTCTACATCAAGGTGCATGCAATTACCACAGTTTCTACATCTAATCTACTTTAGCTTCTACATCTAATCTACTTTATTTTACAAACTAGAACTCCACGAGTCGGATGTGTCGCCTTGTGAACAATATAGTTTAGGAGAAATGGCCAGGACAAGAAAATTAACATAGGGCAATAACTCAAAAAATAAGAAGTGCAGAGCAGCAGTTTCTTTGCACTGCACTTCTTATCAATAAGATGTATAATCCTATGAAGTTTCAAGTCCATAGCTTTTATAATTTATGAGAAATATCCTGGACAAAAATAAAGTATGAAAATTAATAAAGGTAATAACTAAAAAATAAGAAATGCAGAGTACCAGTTCTTGTACACTGCACTTTTTCTTAATGAGATCTATCATCCTATGAAGTTTCATGTCCATTATAAGCTTTTATACTTTAGGAGAAATGACCTGGACAAAAATGAAGTATGAAAATTAACAAAGGGCAATAACTCAAAAAATAAGAAAAGCAGAGTACAAGTTCTTGTGCACTGCACTTCTTCTTAATGAAATCTATCATCCTATGAAGTTTCAAGTCCATAGCTTTCATACTTTTGGAGAAATGGCCCAGACAAAAATAAAGTATGAAGATTAACAAAGGGCAATAACTCAAAAAATAAGAAATGCAGAGTACGGGTTCTTGTGCACTGCACTTCTTCTTAATGAGATCTATCATCCTATGAAGTTTCAAGTCCATAGCTTTTATAGTTGAAGAGAAAGGGCCCGGACAAAATTAAAGTATGAAAATTAACAAAGGGCAATAACTCAAAAATTAAGAAGTGCAGAGTACTGGTTCTTGTGCACTGCACTTCGGGTTATTGAAAGAAGCATGCATACCAAGTTTGAAGTCAATCAGACTTATAGTGAGTTATGCTCCGGACAAGCTTTAGGGGACACCGACACCGCCGACAAAAGTAACCCCTATATGGCGCCTTTTCAAGGCGACACAAAAAGAAATATTTTGCTCACAAACAAAAACGCAACATCCAATGTGTTTTCATCTAAACTGAATGTCAATATCAATTGCCTTACATATAACATCTTGAATCAAATCATCAAAACCAACAGGTGCTATGTCTTTCGTGAGAGCAACACAACAAATAATAACCTTTTAAACAGTTATAAAAGATACACAAACAAGGTAGAAGCACAATAGGTCATGCAACATACAGGTTTAAATGATAGAACTTGATAGTTTGTGCTTTTCTATGGGATACATATCAGTGAGATAAGTCATAACACCATTCTTACAAAAAATATATCAATATCATTTATGTATTAATAAATATATATAACTTTCATTATATTCAACATTTTATTCATCCTCTGAAAGCATTTTCAGGCTTAAACCACTTATTTCCTAAAATTATGATTAAGCTTTCAGTAACCTATCCATTATAATTAACATGATCAAAGAAATGCTTATAGTTTACCTTTGATGCAAACTGTGTGAGCTCTTTCCAGAATTGTTTGCCTTGATGTTTCAATAGAGTGCTACTATTAGACATTTCTTGTGCCATAAAGTTTTTCTTCATGTGGTCTATATCCAGCAATTTCTGTTTATGATGGAGAAGACGTTTATGCAGGGATTTACGGTACATTTTTACAGATTGACTCTTGTTCATCTGTGACTTCACATTACCATTTGCTGCTATAAAATTCCATCTGTTTGACAAGTTTGAACCTACAATGATACAAGTATAAGTAATTTATAATTCAGTATTATGTAACCAATCATAAATATTTTTGTAAAACAAGTTGTTCCATGTACGCCAGAGTAAGAACTTTTGTCAGCTATCCAAATCTAAAATAGAATTTCCTTAGTTTATTCACAATCTTATTTCTGTATCATAGCCTGTTTTGATTAAGCAAAAAAGGGTTTGTTTTTCGGGATGGGGGGGGGGGGAGGGGGTTGTTTGGGATTTACATCACACCAACATAGAAGAGGTCATATAGCGACTTTTCAGCTTTACTGGTGGAGGAAGACCTCTGGTGCCCTTCCATGCCTATGTCAATGACCGTAACCACATGGCCACCGAAAAGAAGGAGTTTAGCCTATTCTATGTAACAATGTAAAGGTTAAAATTCTAGACTGACCAGTAACTTTCTTTGCTGTTGCTCCTTCTTCTTCCCCATTGCCATTTGTTGCTATAGTGTTGTCAAGGTTACGACACATGAACAATAAAATCCAGCCAATCAGTGTGAGGTCTAGTTGTCCAGTAGGGGACATCATTCCTGTTGTGTTATGTATAGGGGAAAGAACCCTAGCCAACATTGACAGCAAACTTTCCATAATGCTTACAGAACATGGACCCTGTAGTGACCTCTGACCCATAGCAGTCAATAAAATAAATACCCTGAAAATGTCAAAGTCAGCAGTTAGAAAATGTATTCCAATCCATAATGGTTATAGAATAAGTTTTTACTTAATTCAATCAGTAACATTGTACACAATACATTAATTTAAGTAGCTTATAGCCATAGATTATGCAACTTATAATTAGGCAAAAAACCTCAAGTATACAAATTTAACACTTTAATAAACATCAATGAACCTGTCTTAATGTTGCAATCATAATATGTAAGAAAATCAATTCTAAAATTATTCTGATACACTGAGAAACTGGCTAAAAACAAATTAAATTCAAGATGCCTTACCTGTCTTGTGAAAACACTTGCATGGTTTCAGAATGGAAATATTCCTGCAGCATGTTACCCAGAAACTCTCCAAACCAAGCCTGACTCCCACATACCCTCACCAGCACCATGCCAGTGAGGATCTGTAGTCTAGGGGTACCATGGAAACATAAATATTTGAACACATCCTGGCATATCTGATGGTTTAGACTGGTATATAGTGAGACTGGTGGCTGGAGGATACTAGCTGATGTGTTAGTTACACTGATCAATGTCTCCAGTAGATTCTCCAACACACATCTACAATATACAAGTATAAAGCAATCAAACAAATCTATTACAGAAAATTTATCAAACCTCAACAGATCTGTCCAGGACATGATACAACTTTTTACATTATCAAAGAAGACTTCAATACTAATGATACATGAAAAAGCATTTTGTGTAAAGACAAAGTAAAATCCAAATATTAAAACAAATCTTCCACTAAACAATAGCTAGAGGTTACAGATATACCTTAGTTTATCAGTGGAAGCCTGTCTGAGAATGGTTATCTGGTTTGATGGGTATTGTGTTGTAGGAACTCGTAGTCCTATAGCACTCTGTAATCTATCTATAGCTCTCATAGCTAGATTCTGCTGTAACTGTAACTGTAAACACTCATTGTATGCCTGCAAATAGTACAGTTAAATATTCTTTGTGTTAAATATTTTTAACAGAGTATAAATAGGTAGTTTGAAATCAAGCAATTAATCTTAGTACCACTGATTTTAACTATCCTCAAATCTTTTCTTTTTTTTTTCCTTGGGTTTTATGTTGCATCAACACTGTATAGGTCATATGGAAACTTCCAGCTTTACTGGTGAAAGAAGACCTCAAGTGCTCCTCTGTACATTATTTCAAGCAGGAACAGGCACCTGAGTAGAACCACTGACGTTCTGTTAGCTAGCTGAATAGCTTCCTGACATAAAAGAATCCAAAGTCCATTGCGGTGAAAAGTAAGTTTGAAGTCAACGACATAAACCAATCGACCACCATCACCCCATTATCTGATTAATAGCCTAACAAAAACACATACCCTCAAAATAATATCTCAACATACTGACTAAATGAAGTAACTCATACCTGAATGATACTGTTTTCTTCATCATTGTTCTTGGATTTTTTCAGGTAATACTGGGTATGAAAGTTGGCATATTGTAATGACTCCACTTGTTGGACCATTGTGCTTAGTCTGGCCCGTGCCAAGCTGTACCGACACTGAAATTCAAATTGTGTCAATGTAAATAAAGAAAAAAATATAAAAAATTCAAATCAAGTAGAAATATTAGATACAACCTAACAGAATGTTTCCCATTTAATTACTAAAAATATCCTATGAGAAGGGTAAAACTTTCAATTCCATGTCAGACTTAACAACTTTATCAACAAAGAAAATAATTTTAAGAGCTGAATATAGCCAACACATTGCAGTGATAAACATATAAGATTTTAAAACATTGCCTTGACATGACAAAAGAACTCGGGAACAAGCAAATAAAATATCATAACTGCATTTTTTTCTGAAACTGATGCTTACTGACATGTACATTGATATGTAACTTTCATTGTTCAAAATTCCTTTTAAAAAATTCAAACTAAAATCAATTCTACCTGAATATCCTCAAGAAGAGACATAAAGCTTCCAAGATGTGACAATAACTGAGACTGTGTTGGTAGGTCAAGCTGACTTGGACCTGTCCCTACAGTGCCGTGATGATCAAACTTGTGACTCCATTCCCATGGTAAGATATAGCTGTGACCATAAAATGCACCAATAGGAATCTTAGATCTTGTAGTTCCACTGCCATACCTTCCAATAGTTGTTATCTGAAATGGGTCATATAATGTTATTATTTCTTATTTCAATCAATGTATGTAACACAGTAATTCTATATCACTTTCTGTATCAGTTGACAAATATTTAATAAATAAACTAAACAATAATTTAAGACATCATTATTGTCCTCATACCATCATCCTACATCATACAGTTCTTCTACAAATTCTATTCTATAAGGTTTTAATATTTCAACACTAAGTGTTAATTATAATCATACCTTGAGATATCTACAAACAGGTGGTGGCATAATGTTGTTCATGACAAGGGAGCGAACTCCTATATCTGATGCCACAACCAGTCTCTGACCATCAATTTCCTCCCCTTGTACCCAGACATCTATAGACAGTGAGGCAAGATCACCACACAATGGTATTATAACATCAGTCAATAAAATTGGTTTACCAAAATCTAATATCACAAATCTTCTTGCACCTGTAACAGATAAAACTAGTTATCACATTTAAATTCAGATAAAATAATCATCAAGAAATGAGTAAAACAAGAAGGACGATAAAAATAAGTTAAACTACAATATTAAGTTTGAGCAAATGGTAAATAAATTACAACATATAACAATCTGCTTAACCACACAGGTTTATATCAACATGATCAAAATAAAATCTTGGTAACTTGCATAATTAAGCAAAAATAATTTCATCTAAAAAAAAATTATTACCTGAATAGATACGTTCAATGACTAGAACCTGTGGTGGTGGAGGTTGAAGTAGGGCATGAGTTGGTTGCACTGACAGTGATGGCCTTGCCTGACTGCACATCTTTGGTGTGTCACCTTTATCTCCTTGTAAAAATATCTGAATCATAAGAAAAACTTCCAGTTTATTTTTAGCACCAATGTTTTCCAGCAAGAGTGGCCAACAATAAATCACTCCTAGCTATTTCACCAACTGTTAGGGGGGGGGGATAAGAAAAACACTGCAGCACTCCTAAACAATTTGAAAATATAAGCTAAGTGTCTCAATACAAACAAGAGGGCCATGATGGCCCTGAAGTCGCTCACCTGTATATAGGCCCCCAGAGTGGGGCCAGTTTAAAACCCAGGGCTTTTATTTGAACAACCTTGGTTGACACCCATTACAAGATGTTTCATGCTAAACATCTAAGGTCTAGCTCGTTGAGTTTTTTAAAAAACATATTTTTTAAGTTTTAACTATACACATATAGTTCAAAGCAATGACACCCCAGGGCTTTTTTTTTAACAAACTTTGAAAACACTCACTTTAAGATGTTTCATGCTTAATATCTAAACTCTAGCTATTTGTTTTTTTTTCAAAGAAGATTTTTAAGTTTTTGCTATACACATATAAGGAAAATCAATGTCCCCCGGGGCAGGGCCAATTTTGACCCTAGGGCTTTTATTTGAACAAACTTTGAAGACACTAACTGGAAGATGTTTCATGCTTAATATCTTAACTCTAGCTATTTGGTTTTTTTTCAAAGAAGATTTTTTAACTTTTTGCTATACACATAAATAAAATCAATGAACCCCGGGGCAGGGCCAATTTTGACCACAGGCTCTTATTTGAACAAATTTGGTAGACACCCATTAGAACATGTTTCATGCTAAATATCTTAGCTCTAGCTCTTTGGGTTCTTTAAAAGAAGATTTTATAAGTTTTTACTATATGCATATAGGGAAAATCAATGACCCCCTGGGGCGGGGCCAATTTTGCGCCAGGGCTTTTATTTGAATTAACTTAATAAGACACTCATTAGAAGATGTTTCATGCTAAATATCTTAGCTCTAGCTCTTTGGGTTCTTTAAAAGAAGATTTTGTAAGTTTTTACTATATGCATATAGGGAAAATCAATGACCCCCTGGGGCCAGGCCAATTTTGACCCCAGGGCTTTTATTTGAACAAATTTGGTAGAGACCCATGAGAACATGTTTCATGCTGAATATCTTAGCTCTAGCTCTTTGGGTTCTTTAAAAGAAGATTTTTTTAGTTTTTACTATATGCATATAGGGAAAAACAGTGACCCCCGTGGCGGGGCAAATTTTGACCCCAGGGCATTTATTTGAACAAACTTGATAGACACACACTAGAAGATGTTTCATGCCAAATATCTAAGCTCTACCTCTTTGGGTTTTTTAAAAGAAGAAATTTTAAGTTTTTTCTATCGGTTGCCATGGCAACCAGAGTTCTGCATGGAATTAAATTGTTTGAACAATTTTTAAAGGTGACCACCACAGAAACATTCCTGTGAAGTTTGGATGAAATTGGCTCAGCGGTTTATGAGGAGATGTCATTTAAAGTAAAAGTTTACGGACGCCGGACGAAAAGCGATCACAAAAGCTCACCCTGTCACTTTGTGACAGGTGAGCTAAAAAGTGTTTCTTCATATTTGAAATTAAAGAATCATTGCTTACTAAGTCAAATTTTAAAGGTAACTAACCATACATGTTTCTAAGATAATTGACAGATCCTTTCCTAGAACATGTCCTGATTTGTTCTATGACAAATTATCAAAAATTGAAGAATGAAAATGTGGCTATCTTAAAGTATTAGATAGCATACTGGTGCTTGTTTGTTATCAACTGGATATGAACACTTATACACAACATAAATTATAAACAGACAAATTTCTAATCTAATTGAACCTTAATTAAACATTATTTCTTTCTTTTCGATTAAAAAAGTACTACACAAATAACTATTCCATATGCATGAGGCCTTCTCAAACTTATACATAGAATAAAATAATATTTTACCTGTTGCCAAGCTTCATTAGGTGGTGTAAGGGGAGGAGTCATCACCTGTGGTGTTGTTTTAGGTGTAGATGGCATCAGTTCTGAGCTACCACTTGGTGTTTTCTGTACTGAGGGAGGGATATTCTTGTTCACTTCATGTAACATTTGTTTTATATGCATTATTTTATGTTTCACTGACTGATAGTTTTTAGAGTTCTGTTCATGAAGTTGTTTTGCTGCTACAGATATTGTTTGAGGAAGGTTATATGGTAAACTCGAGTGTGACAAACTATAAGTTGTCTGAGGCATGGATTCTCCGAAGTTTATAGTCCCTGACATATTTCCCCCAAGACTTGAACTTCCTAAACCTGGATTTATCACAGATGATCCATTGGTGGCTGTACTGTCAAGACGTTCCATTTTAGTGCCGTCACTGGTTGAATGACAGGTAAAATGCAGAGGTTCAACCTCTAACATACCTAGTACATGATTTCTGGCATGCTCCATCAATGATTTAGTAGATTTTTCTGATGGACCATTAAAAAAGTCATAAAAATCTAGATCATCATGTTGCTGGGAAGCAGTTGATGAAGTTGTTGAAGAACTAGTTGATGTACTGGTTCCAGACACTGAACTTGTAAAAGAAGATATACTCTGGTTCCCAGGAATAATTTGTTTCACAGCTTGTGGTATTTCCATATCAAACAGGTCTGGTTCAAAAGGGTGACCATTTAATCCATATCTGTATCAAAATAAAACAAAATTATAGAATTGTCTAATGTATACAACAATGAAAAAAGCTTTTAACATAGACATTTTCAGGAGTACTGAAATTTTTTATAAAAGACAAAGAAAGAAAACCTTAAACTAGTGCTGAGAACTTTCTTGAACTTTGCAAGATTGAAGAGAATCATAATTGAAACAAATTGATGAAAATAAAAAATGTGGATCACTACCCTACCTTTTAAGGCCTTTGAAAGTGATTTTTTACTTTTTTCTCAACAATAATATACATCCATCCATATCAAAATATAATAATCATTTTAACAGGTAGACACTAGGGCTGTCATTGAATATCGCGATATATCATCGGATACAATATCGATACCCACTTTCACATATCAATACAAGCTTAAATTTATTTCTGTTAATATCATACCTCTCAATTATGCATAATAAGAGAAGTCACTTTTTTCAAGTTTTCTAGGCTAACTTGAACTTTAAACTCTGTTTTCAAATGTCAGTAACAAAAATAACAGAAAAAAAGACACTTTCTGTCAGTTTGTAGTATTTGTAGTCTAATACAAGCATGCATAACACCATGATCCCAATTAAAAACACACATTTAAATGTTTTTCATTGTATCTAATGTTAAAGTCGATATATCGATATATTGATATATCGTCGATATTTGTCTCTCGTTATATCAATACAAATTTGTCCATCAATGACAGCCCTATCAGACACCCAATGACTCCAACATTAAATAGACAATATCACAAAACACGAAGTGTGTGTAGTTTTCACAAAACCAATATATTATTATTGCTTGTTAGCAACATCACTCACCTGGCTTTCAAAATAGCATGTAGTGGTGAGGCTCGTTCATGGAAATGTTTGGAGATAGCCCCTAGAAGTTGCCCGGCAACAGCAGAAGTACTTATTACATCCATACACTTGACACGGTTGAGTAATGTAAAATACCACTTCACTCCTCCTGCTGAATAGGCACAAGGTAACAAAGGGAGGCAATCTAGTAAAGCTTCCAGGAGACCAAGATTGAAAGCTGGTGCTAAATCAGGATCAGAAGCCCGCTTACTATATCTAAAATAAAAATATTCTAGGTAACATAACACTGGTATCTTGCTAAAAATCCTTTTCTTTTCAATAAACTTATTTGCAAAAAGAGTTGTCATAACATTAACAGTTTTTCTCTTCATTTTTAATTTAAAAGAGATCAAAATAGTCTTCCATTAAACTGGTATGTAAATTAATGTAAAAATTCTGTTAATAGTAAAAACTACTTACTGCATACACTGTGAGAGAAGTCTAGAACATTTATGTGATGTAGTTCTTGTTCCTTGTATAAAACAAGCTTGTATGATCTCCTTTAACTTTGGCTGAATTGTTGATAAAATGCAACGTCCAGAACTTCTGCAAATAAAACACAATTTAGATTTATTGCATTAGGTAATATAAAAAGATGGGTAATTTCTTTTAGGCTTATTCCATATCTGACAGTTACAAGAAAGTTTCATGATGTAAGTTTTTTCAACATTTTGCAGAATTTCAAAAACATATTAAAGCCTAATGAGTAAATCAAAATGTGTAAAAACAAATTTTATCAAAGTTATTTTTTTTTTAATAACAAGAATATCTGTGACATCAATAAATGTTTGTAAACATTACTTTTACACAGCTTCAACATTGCCAAACTTATCAGGGAAGATATATCAATTGTTTTAGCTTCATAAACCTTGACCTCATTAACTTCAAACTACATCCAAGGTAGAATCCATGCAAAGTACCTACATAACAAATATCAAAGATATCAGGCGATAAATGAAGACAAATAAGAGTGACAATACTATCCACAGTTTCTTCAGAGAGCATAAAAACAGTACCTTCTGTCAGGGTCATTCATTTGTATATTGGTAATCCAAGTGAGCACATCTAGGCACATGTTCTGAACATGATCAGGACTTATCCCTGTTAACAGGAATCCTTTACTAAACGCAACTGTCGACAGTAATTTCTCATGGTAGCTAACTAAATCTATTACAGCATTTCTTTGAACTCTGAAAACATAGAAAATTAACAGTAATTTTGACTTAATGCACAAAAACGGTGGGGTGTATATTCATGAGCAAGTACCAAAGTCTCTTTTTAATTCTACATTTTAAACAATTTTAAGTATTATTAATTTAAATACTTGTGCATAACATTAAATCGTTTTTTCTCTCTAAACCATGTTTCTTTTTCTAAAACTTCCCAGATAATGATTTGCCTCCTTTGAAGAATATCTAGTATGGTTAAATTCCGTACTTTACAGTACAAGATTTAAAACGCACCTACCTACCCTGTAGATGATGTGTTTAAGAAGGATTATCGAATACAACATTATAAATAATATCTATTAATGTAATGACCTGGGGTATGTTTATAAAAATAAGTTCAGAAAAATTGAAGAGGTATATTTCCTCATAATAGTTTACCTTTCTCTGGGAATATTTGTCTTTTTTGTTTTTCTGATTGTGATAGAAAGTTCTGTGAGCCAATCACATCCTTTAAAGCTATCAACTCTTGTTTTGCCAGCAGCAGTAGTAGAGTAGTTCTCAAACAATGCCTTTATTGTTTTTGTTCTGTTCTTGTCTGATGCCTGTGCTGCCGTACGCTTCTTCTTCATATCCTGCTATATGTACAACATTCTAACTTATAAAACTACATTTATATTATTCATATTAACTTTTATTACTTCCTATGCTTTATTTAAACTAAATACTTTAATCAATGTATTTAGTTTAAGAAATATTATTTGTCAAACTTTGAAGTTTGACAATTTACTTATTCACCATGCATTTAAAAAAAATTTACAAAAAAAACCATGAAAATTCCCCTATTGAACATAATGTACTTTTCTAATATACACGTAAATTAGATTATCTTAAGCTTTTAAATAATCTACAGATTGCAAATTTTAATATTTTAGTTTCAAAACGAAAAAGTGCATTTTATCAGAATATTGAGTTCAATTATTAATATATAAAACATAAGATTGAGTGACATAATGAACACATTTAGAAAATCTCTATGTATATTCAAAAGGCTTTAAACCAGTAAACAAGTTACCTTCATTTTTTCAGCATGTCGTTCTATAATTTTACTAGGAAAGCCCTTGATATGCAGGAGGAAAGATCGTGGTTTGGATAGCAGTAGTTGTGGACTTGTTAGTGACACCAGTCCACTATTTCCAGATAGATCAAGACAGTCTGATATACTGACTGGTCCACACAATATCTCCGCATTATGACTTTCAAGAAATTGTGGGTCACATACATTATTTATCGCTGCAGTTGTACCAGAAGATGTTGAAGAATCAGACTCGTCAGAATTATATGTTTGGCCGATGTTAAAATTTATTTTACTATCAACAGGTGTAGAGGATGCTTCTGGTCCGGTTTTCGACTGACGACATATGGCGTTGATATTTTGTTTAAGTAGTGTCATTTGTATATCTGGAGTTAATGGGCATAGTGAACTGATGCTAAATTTAACATCCACGTGTCCCACACAACATACTCGAGGTAACACTATCTCTAACAGATGTTCATCCCATGTGTTGCTGTAAATATAGTATCAGCATTATTACTATAACAAAACAAAACTAATTTACATACATGTAAATCAACATCATTTTATACTATATGTAGGCCATTTTGGATAAATTTTAATCTAACTGTTGTGTATTTGCTTAAACATGAAAAACAAATCTTTTTTACATACTACTTCAGAAAAAGAGTAATTAGACATATACTTCAAATATAATGTAGCAACAGATGAAAATATACTTTCTTTTATTTTTTACCCTAAACATGATATAAATGTTGTGGTATGGTAGGAAAAATGAAATTAGAGAGCCAGCTGAACATTTACATAGAAAAAACAAAATAATTATACCTGTCTGGTTGAAGTTTCCATGTTCTAGTATGTTGAGTTGCCTCCCCTTGATGTTGCAGGTGTTGAGGATGTCGCCGTTGTTGTTGTTCTTGTTGAATTTCTGTCCAACATGGAGGAACTGTTGCTGTAAATCTGGGCATTAAATTCTCAAACTGGATCAAGTTATGTACTTGACTTAATGATTCAAAAGTCAGTGATTTCTTAGCAAGAAGATCTGAGTCTGAAAAGTTTAAAGGTTTAAAATGTTAATCACTATACAATAAGTTTACCTTAAGACATAAATTTATGTACTTCTAGATTAAACACTTTAGTTGACCAGTTGATATATGTATGCTGATGAGCAAAGTCTTATTACAGGGTATAAAGTCTCCTGAAGGGATAAATCTCAAATATATAAAGGCTTATGAAAAACAGATGAATGTTTACATTACATGTATTAATTTCACCTCAGAAAACATTACTGTACATATACTTGTTTAACATTATATAGACAGCCTAAAGGATATATCATGTATCAGTTTTTTTCTGATGGGGGAAAAGCAAATGTTCCTCTACATGTGAAATTCAAAGTCTCTATAGAACCATTAACCTTCTGTAAATCTTCACATAAGACAGAAAATCAAACACACAGAAATAAGCCGCACTAATTGAATGTTAAACACCTTAACCCAAATAATATCAGTCTGATAAAATACGATGTTTTTTGTTGACTTACTTGAGGTTTTTGGTGACTGTTCTACACCTTCATCTGGTCGCACTGTTTCACCTGGAAACATAGAATCAGAGAATTCTGCTACTGGAGTTAGCTCCCCTTCTATCACACTGTCAGACTGATCTGGAACATCTTCACTTAACTGGTAGAAAAACAGCTTTCCTTGACTAGAACACAGGCACAGTCTGTCAATTCCTGCAAAATGTTACAAGAGTTTACTATTTTATTTCCATGAAAAGATTTGTTATTATTTTTTGGTTATTTATACTTGTGTTATAATCTTCATTTTATAGGTGGTAAATGAACATTTATAAACTTATTATTTATCCCCCTATTAATGTTATCGTCATCATTATCATTATTATAACATATCTATAAAGTGTTTGCTTCATATTGAAAGTGCTACATGCTCATTTACATACTTCTAAAGAAAAATAAGTGTAATTTAATAGTTTAACCATTTTACTAACATATCCAAGATCATTCACTATCATACATTTCTTTATCAGCTATGCAAGATTTGCAGTTAGGCAAAGTCACTAAAACACATAGACTGTATATAGATAAAACATTTCCTAATATTCAACAAAATATGATGAGGTACATACCAGAACAGAAAGTGACATCAATGAACTTATCTCCAGCTGGAGGCTGTATAGAGGCAAGAACATTTAAATCACAGCTGCTGAGAATATTCATTTTCCCACTAGAAAATATCACAGCCAATTGACCATAAAGTCCCGACAATTTACCCCCTTGAGGAAAGTCTGTTGTGGGGGCAGAGACAAATATTTCATCATCACACTGAACAATGTCTTCCTCCTCCATCTGATCACATATCTCCCCTGGCAACACAAATAAACAAGAAATCCCACCATCAGACGTGTCAGTATGTCGAACTATCACCGGTTTTTCTTCTAAAGTGGCGTACATAGTTTCAGGATCATAATTAAACTTGTAAATAAGAATACAACCAGAATCAGGCAATGAGTTTGATTTTCCGACTGAAGTATTTGTATTCATATTATCATCAGAGCCACTTGTTTCACTTGTTTCTGAAAATCCAGAAGATTTCTTAGAATTATCACTCTGTGATTCACTAGTTGATAAAATAAAATTAGTTGGATTACTATTATCACTAACAGTTTCAGAATTATCCTCACACTTCACACTAGTCACTGATGACTGAGATGAACATGTATTTCGTGGTGAAACTACGACAATTATATGTTGTTTGTCAAGTGTGGGACAAATTGATTTTATTTCTAAATTTTCTGACTGAAATTCACTAGGTAATTCAACACATTGTAGTACAGTTCCGGATTTTTGACTTGAAAGACGTTTTATTGCACTCTCTGGTATTGAGACTTTTCCACTTCCGCTGCTTTCTGCCATGTCATCTTGCTTACTACTCTCCGTTGGACTACTTGTTGAAAGTGACGTCGGACCAGGTGTTACCTTCACAATTTGACAATCTTGGTCAGAGTCGTACATGTCTAACAAACTCCAGTCTGGTTGATTCATAGACATACTACCTAATGTTGGCACCATATTCCCTGAGCTTGTAGAAGGCTTTAGAGAATCTGTGCTTGGCTGTTTAGATATTCGTTTTACATCTTCTTTGACTGATACAATGAGCAGGTAAGGAATGAAATTTGTAGCAGAATTTAGAAAGTCATCATCTGTGGGCACAGTCTGGTGAGCAAGTGTATCACAGTCTGCATCAGTTATAATTTGTGGAGATGTTTCTCCACTAACACTTTCATTTACTTTATTCATTAACTGTACATCAGTCTGAACATCAGACTGCCCAGTGTCATCATCACAGTTTGATTGGTTTTTTGGACATCTTAGTAATACCCCACATATTACACTAGGCTGTATAGGTCTTTTCTTTACTTTTATTTTCTGGTCTTTCTTGCCTCTTGTTACCTGACTTTCAACACACTCAGTCTCTGGCTTTTCAACAACACATAGAGATGTCACCTGAATGTCTTCATTAGGTCTAATAAAAGATTTTGAGTCTGAAAAAGGAAGAGACACAATCAGAAACAATTAGTAATTTGTGCAATTTAAACAATTTTGAAGCTAAAACATTTATGACTATAAAGTGCTAGTCTCTGACAGTATAGAGCCAAGTCAGCATACAATTCTAGGAAAAGCTTTGTATTGTTTGCTAACTGCCAATTTTATCATTTGGATTTTTAAATCCCTTAAGATTTACAATGAAAAAATACTAAATTCAAAGAAGGATAAGACAATTTCAGAATAATAACAGATTACAAGGCAAAGTAACTATTTTAGGCACCATTTTCATTACAGCATGAATTTTAATAATAATTTTTTCTTCATGAGATATAATAAGAGCTGCAAGACAGATTGCTTGTTCAACTATTCTCAATACAAAATAACATAATGCTTCTAAATCGATCACCTAAAACTGGAGGAATATGAACAACTACATAAAGAATAATATTAACATAAACAGATAAAATATTTCACATACCATCTGTTTGTGGTAAAGCTTCATGGAGAGGTATTTCCATCAGTTCCTCTTTACATTCTACATCTTCAAGGACAAACTGTGATGTTCCTGAATGCATCTTCTGTGCATCCACCACATCTTCTTTAGACCTAAACAAATTTATCAAAATATATAATTCTAAGATATACACAAAAATAAGTTTTCTAAGATGTACAAAAAATGTGCTGAAGAAAAATTGTCTTATTAGTCATTTACAATCATACTTAGGACAGACATATTCAATTTCTTTATTATCTAAACATCATGATAACTTATTTAGTAACATTACATTAAATCAACATAAAACAGATAAATAAAAAGATGATCCAAAGTTTTCCATGTTGTTTTGTTTGTTGCAAACACCATAAAAAAGTTTTGACATACCCTTCAGCTCCCTTAGTTGATGATATTTCTAGACTGTCCTCCATATTTACATCATGTGTATCAGTCTGGTTACTATGTTTATTTTGTCTGTCTACTTGTAAACCAGTCTTCAGTGCTACAGGAGTTTCTGATGGATCTATTGCAAACTGGCAATGTTTCTGCAATAACAACAGCATATAGTTAAAACTATAATGACAAATCCAAATAATACAATTCTTTCTCCCTTCTACAGATTTTTAATCATTTTAGGAATAAAAAGAAACTAGCTTTTCTCTTTCACAGAATCTATAACTCTATTAATAAAGATAGGAAGGAGTGATATGTACAAATCTGGATTTTTAGATATCAAATTAAGCTGTAAAGATTTGGATTTTAGGATAAATCTGACAGTCCTCACTATAGTTAAGCCTGGCTATATTCATATAAACACTACCTTCATTTTCTGTTTTAGATTCCATACTACAACATGGCCATGTTTGGTTGAAGTTGCTATATAATCTTCACTAGCAGTGGTGCTCACACAGGCTATCTTCTCCCCAGTTGTACTATGTGTCAGTGCTGGCTGGGTAGCGTATGTCACTGATAGAGGAACATTCTGTGTCTGCTCTCCTTTCACAAACGGACATGATGGTGAATGTCTTTCATGTTCAGACCTATCAATTTATATTATAAAAGTGGAAATGTTGAAAGATTGCATAAATGTCAAGCAAAACCACAGAGACTAAAGTGTGAAGAAAAACATACTGCTTTCTTCATTACAGTCAAACTTCATCATGTTATTACCTCACTGCTTTCTATATTACTGTCAAACTTCATCATATTATTATCTCACTGCTTTCTATATTACTATCAAACTTCATCATATTATTATCTCACTGCTTTCTATATTACTGTCAAACTTCATCATATTATTATCTCACTGCTTGCTTTCTACATTACTGTCACTTAGCTCCAGGACATGTAATTTCAGAGAAACATGTGTATTTTTTTTCCTATATAAATTTATGTAAACTAAGGGATTTTTGGATAAGGCTATCTTTGACTTAATGTATAATTTATATAACTGTTGTAAAGGACCAGAAGGTGATGCTATATTCTTATCTTTTAGCTCTGAGTATTTTAATTTCTGGGGAGAATATCTTTCTCTTTTTTTGTAAATTTCTAAAGCCTGTTTTTAGCTTTTGTAGGAGAAGAGAAAATATTATTTAAATTAATACATGTAGTGCATTACAACAAAAGACAGACATCATTCTATCACAAAAGCTTACCTCTTATCTAAAATGGGATGCCAAGCAAACAGCTGTCTCTAATGACAAGTGTTGAAAAGATAAACAAGCCATTTCATGTATAATAATTATAATCTTATTTTATTTTTAACTCACCAGGGTTCATCTGTTGGTTCCCAGCAGACTAGACACACATTGCATGTAAAACATAGGGCTCTGTCATCTCCAGAAATGTTTGGCTGGTGGTAAAAGCCTGCTTGAGCCATAGGGTCTGGTAAAGCCCACCTGGTATTTAATACAATTTTTGTGAAAACAATCATACATTTATTGAATGTACTTATGCAATGTCAAAAAGTTTTAAAGATATTTTATGATGAGCAAAAAAGTAAAATGTGCAAGTTTTTTACTAATAAATTCCAGGCTATGCACAAACACAAAAATAATTAAATTCCTTTTCCTTAATTTCAACTTACTTGTAATTCATATGTGGCCATTTTGTAAATGTATCTCTTCTAGCTGCCTCGCTATACATCAATGACCTTTCTATAGTACAACCACTGAGATCTAAACTGTTGCTAGGCAACAGGTAACCTAGTCGATCAGTAACAGCAGAAGCAATGGACAGTCCTGGTCTGTGAATATTCATACGCTTCATTTCTGTTACAAGAGAACTACTTGCTGTTTTCAGTGAACTATACGGAACATCTAAACAAACTGTTGCCCACTGAAAACAAAACAAAAAAGACAAAATATTTACTAACACATTAAAAATGCACATTTTTTCATGAAAGTGCATATTTCAAGACATATAATACCGTTACTTAACATTCTTAGGAACCAAATATCAACTTAAAATGATATGCCTTTTGTATAACAAACAAATATTGTCAAAGGATATGTTTAGATTATGATCAAAGAAACTATTTGAAAATGACAATAGTGTTGATATAAAAGGCATTTAACCTGAGCCTCTGACGTAAGTTTTATGCGGAACCAAACTTATAGTTTGATAGAGTGTTTTTTTTATACCTTTGCTGTTTTATGATTGCCTTTCGTTGCTTCTTGTACAGCCTCAATTTTTTGTTGTAATTCTTTCACTACTACATCAACAGCATCTGTACATTGTAACTCCGCACTTGCTATAGACTTCAACAGCTGACTGGCCTGAAGAGATGAGGTAACAACTTTTATAACAATTTAATGCCCCTTACTTACTTATTTCAGGCATGGGAGGACACCCAAGTAGAACCAAACTAGCTAGATCACTTCCTCACATGAAAGTCCTCAAGTTCAATCTAACTGTGGTAAGGTATAAGTGATCTAACTGTGGTAAGGTATAAGTGATTCAAGTCAACAATCTTAATCAACCATGAAACCTAACACAGGATTGCGTATGTTTCAATTTCAGAACTATCATATCCATTTTCTTTTGTTTAATGTTATGTACTTAGTACTTATCATTTGTATAATTTAACATGTATGTCATGCAATAAAATAAGTTTAAAACAAAATGTCAAACATAAAATGATTCAGTAAAGCAGAATCTATATCACAAGTTAAAACCCTTACCTCCGCTAAAGGGAGTTCCAATCTAACTTTATCATCTTGAGAGGCTACCGGTGTCTGTAGAGCAGTATCAAGTAATAAAACACCTTGTAAATCCCTCCGCACACCAACTGCAACATCATTACTGAAAACCATTCTATTTTTCTCTGGCAAATACATGCTCCTAACTCTGTCACCTTTTGTTGCTGTAGAGAATAAAACTAAATGATAAACATCACATAACAATCTATCTATCTTACAAATATTTCAATAAAAAGAATATTTGAAGTTATGAATCTATGAAAACAAATAAAAACATTTTTAATAACAGATATGCTCGGCACTATCAAATTACATTACCATTAATCTAAATTGAGAAACAACATGGCATCCTATTAACAGATTTTCAGTATAAGGTCTTTAGAAGCCATCTTTATCACAAGTTATGCAACAGTCAATTGTAGTCTAGCGATCAAAGTGCCACTTGTGAGGGATGGGGAAAACAGTCAATTAAAGTCTAGCAATCAAAGTGCCACTCATATTAAATAAAAGGGGAAAACAGTCAATTGTAGTCTAGCAATCAAAGTGTCACTGATGAGGGATGGGGAAAATAGTCAATTGTTGTCTAGCAATCAAAGTGTCACTCATTTGGGATGGGGAAAACAGTCAATTGTAGTCTAGCAATCAAAGTGCCACTCATGAGGAACGGGGGGAAACAGTCAATTGTTATTTAGCAATCAAAGTGCCATTCATGAGAGATGGGGAAAACAGTCAATTGTAGTCTAGCAATCAAAGTGCCAGTCATGAGGGACGGGGAAAAGAGTTACAATTGACTGGTGCATTAAAAGTATCTATAAAATCAAATAATATTGCAATTTCATTTCTATTTTATCACACTTTTATCACACAAATGTTTGAAGAAGTCAGTGATAATTTTTACTTTTCATTTTGATATTTATTACCCTTTTGTGTTTCTCTGACTGCTTATTAATATGTTTCACAGTTTTTCATCCAGAAATAAGTGAAGAAACTCTTAAAATGTATCAAAATGTTAACATTTACAAAAAAATCATTTGGTTTTCATCCAGAAATAAGTGAAGAAACTCTTAAAATGTACCAAAATGTTTAAATTTACAAAATCATTTGGTTACTAAAACAGCACATACATGTAGTTTTTATATGTAATTTGTTATAATTTATATTCTCTTTGAATATTAATATTATATTCTATTTATCACATGTTCAAAAAGAGAACGGTTTACAGTTAAAATGAGTCATTTTTCATTGAGGCGCCTATAGTGTAACAATCTTCTATGCAGTGACAGAGCTCAAGGTAATTTTTTTGGCCAAGGGGTTTTTACCCCTCAAAATCTAGAGTGAGTGGTAAAATGCAAATTCTGAAAAACTTAAGGGGTAAAATCTGTCAAAAAAGCATTTTGCATTTTTATAAACAAATTAAACTTATTGTTTTTGTTTAATTGTTTGTTTATTTTCTTTTTTAGAAAAACTTTTACAAATAAAATACTGATTCAATGTGAAACAATACAAAACATGCTCTGTAAAGTCAGACTTTCAGAGTATACTGGAACTCAAGTTAGGGTACACAGCAAAATTATCAGGGCTTCAATTTTCAAAATTTGGAAGTCAAAGACTTCAAAATCTCTGATATTGGAAGTCACATTATATAGGTAAAGAAGGAAAAGTATTAGATTTTGGAAGTCACAAGCCAAAATGAAGGAGTAAATGACTCCCAAACTTCCACTAGTGGAAGCCCTGAAATTATTTTATATTCTAGGAGTCAATATTTTTCTTTCTTTATTTCTGTTGGCATGTACCTTATCATGTACTCCAGTTTGAACAATTATAGATGAAATAATAATTAAAGAGAAATAAACAAGATTTTTTTTAAAATCTTTCCTTAAAAAGTATTGGTCTGAGAGAAAATTGTCCGTAACTGTAGACCGAGTACGAAAATATTGAGTACAAAACTGCAGGTGAAAAACATGTTTTTTTGTTCCAACAACAAAAGTGAGAAATTAAAAATATTATTATATTTTTGTTTATATTGAGGCATAAGCATGTCAATAGATGCCTTAACAAAAAATAATATTGTTAACTCCTACGATGATTATCTGGCAAAAATTTTATCAATAATTTCACAGGTTGATCTACGAGAGTTTTACGTTTTTAACATGCATTGTTGACAACATAATTTTTAGTTTTCAATGCAATAAACATGATAAAATGGAAAATATATTGTATTTTTATGCTCAAAACATTCTCTTTCTAAATATCAAATGTTTACACTTCTATTCTTTCACGCTTAAATTTTGACATACCAAGCGTATTTTCATTTTGTTGTGCGTAACTTTGACGCACGTCGGAATTTGGAAAGTGATGCGTATTTTAGATTTTCTATGCGTATTTCATGCTGATATGCACGCTATCTGGAGCTCTGAGTGATCTCCCCTTATCAGTTCAGAGATCTCTGCCGTCACAAACACTTAAATATCAATATTTTGATATTTTATATTTTTTAGCGTTTTAATTTATTTTTCATTATTTTGTATACTTTTGATATTTTTTTTATAAAATATAACGTACAAAGGTACGAAATGTTATAAATAAAATAGAAAGAGAAAAATGACGTTAGATATTCTATGTAACAGTCGCTATTTACATTTGAATTTTGACACGACGTCATGTGACTTTCATCATCATGTGACATCTGTAAAGGCAGTGATTACAATTCTGGCAAGGGAGGTAATCGTTGTGAGGAGTTCGATAGTGTTATGCTAACAATAGCGCACTAAAACTCTATGTTAATATATAGCGCAAATGACGTCATGTCAAAGTGTTATTACACTTGTGTAATAGGCCTATCGTTTTTAAATGGCTTTATTATGCCGTTGACCCGTATTTTCGGGGGTTTAACGTTTTAAATTTAAGCCACAGTTTTTAAATTAATAGTAAATGGAAGACAAAAAACATCAACAGTGAGTAAAAACTTTGACAGACAAAAAGGAACCGTTTAAAATATGAAAATAAACGATTTCAGTAAGAAATCCTTATCTTTCTACTTTCACTATCTGTAGTCTGCGTCGCGCGAAAGCTGTCTCATATTTTCGGGGATTTTGATTGGATGGTCTCGTTTCGGTAGTGATGTTGCATGTGCTCAAATTCTATACTGTACTCAATATATTTCGGGACATTGGTTTAAGTTTGGCATAAGTCCCGGTGATGAATTTTTAGGCAAAGATACGTTTTTTGTTATTTTTTGTTGCTGTGTAGTTGAAAATAACATACAAAAATAAGAAGAAAAAAAAATATAATTGAAATGACATTGACAGACTTATATTTACGTGTTTAATATGTTAAGTACGCATTCTAACGGTAATAATTAATAGAAATAAGTGTCTGCAAAAACTTGATGCTTTTTGGAGAACCCAATCAATCGCACGAGCTGTCATTCACGACCGAAAATGACGCCATGAAAATATGAGAACCCCCGAAAACATGAGAACAAGGCATACACTATTGCCCGCTGTTTCTGTGATAAACATATTTTATTTCATTTTATTTCCCAGAATACATATACATGTTTCAATTTACAATAGGGTATTCACAAAGTTTCAAATATTCTTTAAAAAAAAAAAAACAGGATTAAAATGTATGAAATACATGAAGTACTACCACTCACTCTCCGATAGACAGTCCGGTGTTTTTACCTTTTTACCAGCACTATACATAGTACTTTTTTAAATCACTCTTGTACATAGACACTTCTCACACAGCGCTGCGCTAGTACGAGTATACGCCGGAAGGTGTCTGTATTATATTGGAAGAAGAAGAAGAAGAAATTCTTCTTCTTAAAGAATTTTTCAGGGGCCGTTTCTCAGCAATTAGCAGATTAGAAAATGATCACCGTCATATATAAATTATTACCTAGGAAACATATCAGGCAACAACCATCAAATTTTATCTATAATACAAATTAGAAAGATCTTGTTTTACATTGCAAAACTTTGTCAACGAAGAAATATTTTATTAGAAATTTTATCATTTTCGATTTTCTTACCAGAAAGGTCAGATTTTTGTAAAACTGATCCTGAGGTAACATCGTAAATCTTTACAGCTGGCTCATCCGTTGTTACAATTATTGAATTCAAGGCTGAGTGGTATGTCACATTGCTTGCTGGCTCTCCGATGGAAATACAGCCATCTTCACCAACATACCACTGGTGCTTCCCTGTGAGGGAAGCCATTTTGCCTTAAAATTTATCGATGACCTCACAGCTCTTGATTAATTTCCATCTTCCCGAGCCTAAATTCGCTACGGCAAAATATTTACTGCGCAAAAACGCGACTAGAGCTGAAATTTTAGATAAACTCAACTATGTGTTAGGCAATCATTAAAGATGGTAGCAAAATTGTTTCTGCCAGAGATGCAAAATGATTTAACAAAAAATATGAACAAAGAAGGAAATGGAAATTGTCTATAAATCCATGATTGAATTTATAGAACTTAGAATAGAATTTAGAATGAAATTTAGAATATATGGTATCTCGCCTAAATAAATGACCTCTCACAAAACATAAATTCCCAGGTCCGCTTGTTTGCAGACGATACTGCAATATACACTGCTCTGACACCAATCACTCACCCTCCAAAATGAGCTGAATAGGTTAGAATAGTGGAGTTGAGGTGGGATATGGAATTTAACCCCTCCAAGTGTCAAGTTATCAACGTCACAAAAAGAAACATCCTATCACAAACACGTACACAATCCTACCTTCATGGAGTCTAATAAGTTACCTCAGCTAAATACCTAGGCGTGGATATATATCAGAAAATCTCACATGGGATGCCCACATAAACAGGACATCAAAGAAGGCAAACCAAACTTTAGGATTCCTACGCAGAAACATAAAGGTACTCACTTTTCTTTAAGATTAACCATGGTCTAATTGCTATCCCCATAGAGGAATATGTGGCTACCCTCTCCCGTACATCACGCCATGGTCATCTCCTGTGTTATAGGTTATTCACAGCAAGTTCAAACTATTGTAAATTCTCTTTTTTCCTAGGACAGTGTACCACTGGAGCCACCTACCCCCTGTAGTTGCCCTACTCCCTACCCAAGAGCAGTTAAGTGCAGCCATAGCGTGCATTGAACATGTCTCACCCTAGTTTTCTTTACATTTTTAATATTCTTTTATCCTCTTTTTAAACAACTCTTGCTTGCGATTTTGACTCGCAGACATGTCTACGTCCCCGCAAGGGGTTTGACATTAGTGGAAGATAGATAGTATTTAGATTAAAATAGAATAATTTAATTTCCTTTCAAGAGTCATATTTTATAACATTAAATCAGATCAACAATAAAAAAAGATAGAAAATAAAGCTTGATTTGAATTAGGAATTACAAAAGATTTAAAAAACACAGCAACAACTGATAACCTAAATTTTGTTTACAATCATGAGACTTTCATTAAAGCTCAATGTCATTTTGAAACATCATTACCATAATTATACAAGTACATAACAATGTTTACTTTGCCCTTTTTGCCGGTCTTTAGTGGCCCAGCTTTAGTCTGTTTATAACACGATTACCTCCCGTTTTTACCTAGATTCTTTGTAAAACACTTTACAACAGAAAATATAAAGAAACCAGTACTAGTATACTACGTACGACAGAGTAGGGCCTGAAAGTGATAAATGAATAATGGTTTCGAGGGCTTCAGTCCGAGGGCATTATTCATGCCAGGGCCGATTATGAGCTCCCGGTCCGTCTCTGACGTGTATTAACGTCTTATAATACACTTGATAAATCTAATAGTAGCTCTATTTTAATACCTGTTGGAATTCCTTTCTCTGTACAGTAACTTATATAGAGTTGCTTCCACTTTATACAAAGTGCACAAGAATCAAAAAGCAAGTTTTATTTTCTCTAAATTAATCGTTATATTGTGCAATTGTTTTTGTATGTACAATCGTGTTACGTTGTATGTAAGGACTGTGATAAGTTTCTTTTCTTTCATTCATTTACTTGAAATAATTCTGAAAATCTGAAAATTTAACAGTGGATTGGGTAATCTCAATATGCTTTTCTTTCAGAACACGAGTAGAAGTAAGTTTTTTCCTTCAGAGCATCAAAAGGAAACTGCTAGGCATTACCCCAAACACATGTAGCAATCTTTCTGAAGCGCTTTGAGTAAGAGTTCGGAGATTTACCATGCCCCTCAAATAAGTCATTATGGAGTTTGTTTAACTTTGAATAATCCTTAATAAATGTCCTGTAAAATCCTGCAGTTCCTAAAATGCCCTTAATTCTTACAGAAATAGCAGAAGTTTTGTCCGGATCAGTATAGATACATTTAAAGATAATATGGCCTAATGAAAAAACCGTTGATGTGAAAATTTGACACTTACAGCCTTGAAGTTTAAGAACATGAGAGGATTAACTTTGGAAAACATTTTCAAGCCAAACAATATCTTCAACAACCTCAAAAATCTCATCAACAAAAACGAGACATTCATGTGAAAGAAGATCACCATATGACACGTTTCATAACTCTTTGAAACGTTGCCCTTGAAAATACAAGCCTGTTGAACCGATAAAATCCAAGGTTACCAACAGGAAACGCAGTGCAGGGCTTTAAGTCTTCTTCTCTTTAAATTTGCCAGTAACCGCTTCGTAAATCAAGTTTAGAGAAAGTCTAGAGTAGGCAAGATCGAACTGAAAGGTCAACAGTATCGTAAAATGAGTAAGCATCTCTTTTTTCTTGAGTTGAGAATTCTTAAATCAATACAAAATCTATGAGAATCATCCTTTTTCCGAAAAAGAACAACATTGGAAGAAAAGGGGGTCAGTTGGTGAGATGGCACCGCAATCAAGCATGTCCTTTAGGTGCCGTCTCACATTACTTCTGGAGGATTTTTCCTTTTTCTGTATTACTGCTTGAGATGGGTGTCATCATTTTAAACAAAACATTTTTTGGCGTACCATATCAATACAACCCGTATCTGTATATTCCCTGAAAAACATATGATTCCAATGCGAACACGCCAACAAAATCTCAGAATCAATATTCAAATCACGAGAATGTAAATCTGGCAGTGAAGAGGAAGATCTAACACAATTATAAACCGGATAAAAAATGTTGTCCGGCACTGTGACGTCATTCGGCACACACATTTTATATTTCGGCTAAATAGTCTACGTTCTTGTAGTAAAATTACAAATACATACAGACACCTTTGCATTTGACCACTTACACTAGACTCTGAAACTATATTTGGCCGGACAATATATTAAACATCTGTATCTGGGTTTTCGGTCACAAGTTTGGTATATTTTGAAACATCTCTTACATGACCATTAGAGGCCAGTTATACATCAGAAATGATATTATCTTTATTTTTTTCAAAAACTTTTTATTTTTGGTATCTTATTACAGTTTATTTTTGGTATATTATTACAGTTTCCAAAAAAATTGCCATATAGATGAACTATATTTTGCTTCTTTTGCTTTTTCGGCAATTAATATAATTAAAGCAACTCAATATTTTGTATAGAAGTCAAAATACAACTTATGAGAAATTTTCTACCTCGACGACACATTGCTTCAGCTTCAATGCTAATTTTTTCTGTTGTTTCATCTAACTTGCTCTTTATCTGTTGTTAAAACATTAAAAACATGTTTGACATTTCTAAAGGATTTAAAAAAATGTATTCCTGAGTCAAAATGTATCTTAACAGTAACTTACTCATACGCTTCAACTATGATAGGATGGTCATCGGAAGATCTATATGACTTTGTGAGGCTGACAAACCAAAGTATCAAATGCTGATTGCCAAACTTGAGAAAAATTAGAAACTGAAGATAAAAGTTTGCAGAGCTGATAACATAAGGGCATAACATCCTAGGAAAAGATATATTGTTATGTATGTTAGGGACAACTAATACATTCTCACGCATCTGGATATTTATTTTTGGTATAGCAATCGGAATTTAGTGTACCTTAATATATTTAAGGATTTCCCATTTGTATCTGAAAGGTCGAATTTGAATTTGAAATTGACATCTGTCAAATTCAACACTGGCGGTCTATTTGACAATGACAAATTAATAAAATCGTGATGCTGTCGAAACCATTGAGCCAGTATATTCTTAGAGCTATGGCTGAAATTCCATTAAATAAAATATTGGTCTTATTAATTGAAGTTTCCAATAATTCTATTGCTAAGTGTCTCAGCACCTACCTCTAATTAGCCGACAAAAGAGGTGGAAACTAGTTTGGGTGAAACGCAGAAGATCCCTGTTGCACAGTAAAATGATACATATGTTGATACATACCCTTACCACAGCTAGCCCAACTCCGACTTATGTTAAAAAGGTATATGTACAGTGTACCTTGATACATTATATACTTTGTTGATGGAGGTGGTGTTTGATGTTTGAATGTCTTTCGTGGTGGTGGTGGAGGTGGCGTACTAAATTCATGGAAAATAGCAACATGTTTATAATTATAGTTGCGTGTAGGATACTCCTGTCACGCGGGAGATCGGCGTTCGAAACACGGACTTACTATCCTTAGAGATGGTTCAGCACGACATTATTATTGTTGTGTTTGTGGTATTTTTAGTTTTGAAGAAAATCTTGTTGATCTTTATTCTTTTATTTATTAATTTTTTGGCATTTTCTAGTTGGGTGGTTCCGATATTTCTACTTGGATAATGTTGAATCACCCTTAGGATATGTTGCCTGTAATATGAGACTGTTTATATAAATGTATGCCTGCGCATGCTTAGAAAGTAGTACAGCAGTTCTTGTTAAGAGTTTATCTCCAGTATTAAACTTGTTGTGATATACTCACATACAAAACCACATAATATTACAGCCTGCTTTTTAACTTTGTCTTTTGACGTATTATCTGTGATATGCAGGCTTCATTACCTCTGATGCCCTTTCAAAATTCCATTTTGTTTAGTTCTTCAAATTGTTTTTACGTTTAGGGCATTAGCATTTTATTACTTGGAACTATACGCCGCTATCCATGGAAATTTCTCCGATGATTCACAACCAGGAAAGAGTAAGAAGTTCTACTCTTTCATCAAATCAAACAAAACAGAAAACTGTGGAGTAGCACCTTTAAAGAGTGATGGTCAAAAAATATGATAAACAAGATCAACAAGGAAAGGCGGCGTTCAATGAAACCTTTACTGATCCTAAAATGAAGGCAGGCATACTAAATAAACAATTTAAGTCTGTCTCCACAAAATCATCCAAAAATGACAAATGTCAACATAACAGAGGAAGGAGTAAAGAAACTCCTCAAAGGTTTAAACCCAAGCAAAGCCTCTGGTCCCGACCAACTGTCCCCAAGATTACTGAAAGAACTTCATACTGAAATTGCCCCAGTTCTCACACACATCTTCCAAATTTCCCTAAAATCTGGTACTGTCCCTCATGACTGGAAGCACGCAGTCATTGCCCCCGTTTAAACGAAAGGCCCAAAATGTAAGCCTAGTAACTACATGCCTATATCAATTACCTGCATTGCCTCTAAGCTAATGGAGCATATAATTGTCTCCAATATCATGTTTTTCTACGACAAGCATGATATTCTCAGCAATTTCCAACATGGTTTTAGGTCAAAACATAGCTGTAAAACCCAGCTTATCAGTTTCACCCAGGAAGTTCATGACAATCTAGAGCAAGGCCAACAGACCGATGTCATTGTCATGGACTTCAGCAAAGCATTTGATAAAAATCTGGAAACCATCACAAACTCCTCCTAGGTCATTTTTATATGGTCGCACCCAACAGGTCGTTGTTGATGGTCAAAACTCTGACAACCTACCTGTTCTCTCTGGTGTCCCTCAAGGCTCGGTCCTGGGACCTTGCCTCTTCTTATCCTACATAAACGACCTTCCTGATAGTGTTAAGGGCAAGGTCAGGCTATTTGCAGACGAAACAATAGAATATTTACAATTAATGAAATCAACCCAAGACGCCCAAACCCTCCAAAAAGATCTCAACAGTCTTGAAAACTGGGAATCTGATTGGTCCACGGAATTTAACCCAGATAAATGTGAAGTCCTTAGTATCAGCGCAAGAAACACCCACTAACATTCCCCTATAATTTACATGGTCAACAACTAAAATCCACTGAGGCTGCAAACTACATGTATTTAGGCGTAACAATTAGTAAAGATTTACCCTGGACCAATCACATAAATAACATAACAGCAAAAGCAAATAATTCACCCAGATTTATAAAAAGAAATGTCAAAACTTCAAATAAAAAGGTCAAAGAAACTGCCTACAAAACTTACGTAAGGCCCCAGTTAGAATACTGTTCCACGGTTTGGCATCCTTTACAAAAATATCTGGTTTACAAAATAGAACAAGTTCAAAGGTCAGCTGCCAGATATGTATACAATGACTACAGTTACACCAGTAGTTGTATCTAAAATGATAAGTGACCTTAATTGGCAAATCCTAGAACAGAGGCGCAACATCAGCTCTGTTACCCTTCTCTACAAAATCCAACAAAATCTTGTGAGGGTCGACCATCACCACCTGACATCCACTAGAAACGTAAACTACCTAATACCATATTCAATGACACAATATTACTCCTATTCATTTTCCCCCAGAAGTATTCGTCTGTGGAATGGCCTACCCGTGTCCTTACAAGCTAGTCCCAGTTTAGACCTCTTTACTGGGCAGCTGCATCCTTTTTACCAGTTCTAAGCCAGCTTTGTTTTTAACTTTTATCTCAGTCTTGTAGTTCTTTTTAACTTGCTTTTACCTTGTGTCTATAAATTTGCACTTAACACATTTGTTTTTAACAGCTATTCCCAGACAACGCGCTTGCTTAGTGTAATCGATTATGATTTTGAAGCAGTATAATGTAGATGTAGATGGCACTACTGTGTCACATTGAAGGTTCCATGATAAACGCCGTAAGAACACATATGCGGATGTTTCTAAATTCAAAATTTTACCATTTCATGTTTAAATGTTGAATTCTGCTTAAGCCGGTGCTAGGGGCGTGGACGGTAGTTTGCACTTGACAGTATCGTCCATGAACAGCAGGGGGTCGAACGTATAGCGGTGCGATACTCCTTTAAGCGAGGTGATTTCATGCGATACGCCCTAATGGCGGATTTACCCGTGTAAACACACGTCAGAGTGAGTGTTTTTTATTAAGTATTTCATAAATCTTCGATTACAATTGCATATTTTGTATTGAGGATGTGAAGATAGGACCGACACACATTTCATCAAATTTACAGAGGCCTAAATTCATAATTTAAAAAGTTATTGAAGGTAAACTGACGGCAACTAATTTTGGGTCGGTGAATAAAATCGCTTAATGCAAGCTTATATTAATATAGTTAATTTCTTTTTCTTCTTTATTCTATAAGAGTAATCATTATTAAGTTGCATAGCAAGTACCTTTGTGCTCCGATATACATAGATGCTTACTGGTCAAAATATTTAAGTGTACGCTGGATTTTGGTGCGATAAAATAACTGTACGCTGTTAAAGGTTCGATATGTTTCATTGTCACATCTGCTGTACATGTTTTCCTATGATTATACTAAGATATCTACCATATATGTGCCCGTTTCCGGAATTCTAAAATCTTCTTTCCTTAAAGATTTACTTGAAATAAAAGTATTGTATAACCATCTATATAAGTGTTAGAACTTAATTTGAATAATTAGTAATAATTATCCTTTGATAATTAGGAGTTGGAAAAAGGTAACCTTTACTCTAAGATCTTAGATAAAAAGTAAGAATTTGACCAAAAATATGTAAGAATGAATTTAAGAAGCAAATTACTTAAGAAATCTTGTATAAATTAACTCACTTTCAAAGCAGAACATTTCAGAAAAATAGCTGTTAATATGTGATATAAGGGCTGTTTTACTTCATGAGGTTCTAAGATCTTTTGTACATGCTGCTGTCAAACTGATATTTTTTCATATTATAAATAGAATTGAACATTTCAAACAACCTATAAAATACAGTGAAAGTACATTTCACTGCTTTTCTAGAGATAGAGACTGAGAACCAGGTTGTAAAAATCTTTAGGTGGTAAAATTCTTTTCTAAAATGTTGCTTAGAACAGGCTATTTTTGTAGTGCACATAATTGTGGCCTGTCAGGAAAAAACACAAAACTACAATTTCAAAATTCAGTCAGTCATTGGACATCAAACAGCTCAGTGTCTTTCTTAGGAACAGCTGATCCTCAAATGTGCAAATACACAGTTGTAAATGTTACAAAAGTAAAGTACAAATGCTGACACATGTACAAATAAACAAAAAGCTATTGAGTATATAATATAAGATTGAGTCACACTGCTTATGGAGTAGTATATAATTAAATAACACATGGGTTTGTGGGTTACAGTTAGAATATCATCCCAAGGAAAATACTGTTAGCCAAGGTGTTAGCCGAGGGAAACAGTATTTTTAGGAGGGTTGATATTTTTACTGTTACTCACACACGCTTGTGTGTTATTTATATTATTTCCCGAACAGATACTGTAATTTATAATACTTTTATTTACATAAAACGCACTTGCCCAGATTCTGTACTGTTAAAAAGTGCTGTTGGCCTGTAACAGTACAAATCTCTTGGTACACTTTCTTTAACAATAAGAGTAACTCCTAGTGGAAATGAATATTTACAAAAAAGTGAGGGGTAATGCTATACATTAAATGTTGCAGAGAAAGCCTAGTTTTAAAAGTAAAACTACTGGCAGATATGTTAAATCACTAAAAGTATGAATCCTGTTGACAAACATCAGAATTACTGAAATACAATGATGTGCTCTGTATATAATATATAACATCCAATCCATAGAGGAAATCAAACCAGTATTTTTTTTTTATAAATTTCAAGTTCCATTGCAAAAAAAAAAACTAAATGGAAGAAACAAAACGAATATTATCGTGACTATTGATTATTTGATAGAATTTCAAATTTCTGTGCATAACTTATCTCATTTTAATGATTAACATTTGTGAGAAAAAGAATATTTAAATTAACTATATCATAGTATAATACATTAATTGACACTGTTGTTTTAATTGACACTGTGGTTTACATATGATTAACATACAAACTCAAAACTTGATATTTCATCAAAACTGAATAAGAATGTACTGTTCTGAGGAAGCTACAGAAAAACATACCAACATTTGTGCGTACAGTTGGTTTATCGGACCAAATATTAGGCGTACAGTAAGAAAACTGGAAATATTTTATATATTTTCGGATGTATATGGAAAACTACTCTTGTATATCGTTTTGTTTTCAAAAATAAACATGTTGGGACCTAAACTAATCGAATATCTCGTTTTAAAACGACTGATACATTATTCGTTTGCATGTGCATATCAGGTTGACGGTTGAATTTGCAGCAACAAATACCTCAATAACTTCCTCAATTCCATAAAATTTAGTATTCTATTTTGACAATCATGCACATTTATAAGTTCTAATCAGCATGCACAATGATATTCTTTAAAAAATTACAAAAGACAACAAATATTTGGAAAAAAAACATGTTCATACCCACTTTCGTTTTCGCTCCCGTCCGCCATTAGGGCGTATCGCATGAATTCACCTCGCTTAAAGGAGTATCGCACCGCTATACGTTCGACCCCCTGAACAGGCTCAATCAAACCGAGCCTACAACATTTTCAATTTTGACGTGTTGGGCTTTCTTTAGGGATTTTTATTTTCTCTATTTTACAACATTTTAAGTCCCAGAAGTGATTGACATATATATTGAGGTTTTGTTTCATCTTTAATAACATTTTTTTACTGCACAACAATAAATAAGATTTCTAAGGTTTGGTAATTTTGCTCAAATTCATCTATCTCATGTCGCAAAATGTGTGGGATTATTAAAGCGGCTTGTCGCGAGAAAGAAGCTATTATATATTTTTTTAATGCAAGGGAATTATTTAGTGGTGTAAGACCCAAAAAGGGAAGTTATTAATTTGTTTCTGAATACATTAAAATTGTTTTATGTGGGGGGGGGAAATCTTCAGCAGAGTATACATGTATTCACATATTTTCTAGAAATACATCATTTTTTAATTCAAAATAATTTATATTTTGTTACTGTATATTTTTTTCTCCCCTAAACTTCCGCCGAACTGGTCTCCTGCATACTCCACAGGGCCAATGGTCATACGTGAATCTTAGGGAACCAGATGCTAGATGTATAATTATAACTTGCATGTGTTTACAACTTTTAATGGGATTTCATGCCTTTTCTCCTTTATTCCTTCACACTCAAATATACCGTCTTATCAGATGTTAAAAAGGGTATCATATAAACTAAGACAGAAAATATGCAGAGCTGTCATCGTTCCAATAGAAAGAAATCCGCGAACAAATGACAATATACAGACGCACAAACGTAAAACAAACTTTAAAGATTTTTTGACCAGACACACTCATGTTATTTCGTATGAATTATTTCATTTTAAAGATTACTGTTTAAGTTTTAAACCATCGTATAGTGTAAAGATGAATTCTGTTGAAATGCAGCAGTTCAAACCACCAGCAAGTGTGAAAGGCATGGTCAAGTTAGATAGATCAAAATTTGATGATATGTTGAAGGTTCCTACCATCATTATTCCTGTAAAAAAATTGCAAATGATGCTAAAGAAATTGAGAAAGTATGGTTTGAAATTAAAGCACCTGTCGCCAGTGCTGGCACTTGAGCAGACGCATCCAGATTTTGACAGCCACAAAAGATTCCTTTTTGATCCAAGAAAATTTGAAACACATGATGAATTAACAGAAATGGTGCAAAGTATATTAGGTAGTGAAAATGCTCAAACTAGCAGTATTGAATTTTATGAGTTAAAGGTTTCATATGAAAATTGGAATTTTCAAGAAGTTATGCAGGCTATAATACCAGATGATATTGAAAGTATCTCTGGCTTTGCAGAAGTTGGTCATATTGCACATTTTAACCTAAGAGATGAAATGCTACCTTACAAACATATCATAGGTAGGTTTGATCTTATTCGTGCAAAATGCACAGACTTTTGTTGTTTGACATACATGGTCTTTTGCATTATTTTACCACAAGAAAATTTTTGCCAGTGACTTCTAATAAACTTACAGAATGAGAAATGAACAATGCAAAATTGAATTTGAGTTTTGTCTTGCATTGTCCATAAACTTGTTTACAAAACATGCAAAAGACATGCACCATTGCCAGTGACATTCAATGTGAATTTGTTTTATCTGTAGTAAAATCATCTGTCACCATGTCCAGTAATGCAAAAATGTGCAAATAATGCAGGAATTCAATTATGCTAAAGTAATGCAGAATTGTACAATTCTGTGGCCAAATAGAGCACCACAGAAAGTAAATGAACCAATACATTTTATTGTACATGACATTCGGTAGTAATAGAATGCGAAATGGACTCCATTTCGCGAAATGAACTTTTCGACTACGAAATGGACATTTGTTTCTTAAATTTTGGTTTTTAAAAGTGTACCACTTAATATCTTTTTTAATAACGAACAAGTGATATATGACATAAAATTACTATTTAAACAATTTTGGTAATATTTTTTCATTATTTATGCTTGTAGATCTACATTTGAAAATAATCGTATAATAATGCCACATAGTTAAGTGCTTTATACATGGTCTTTCAAATAGAAAGATTCTGTAATATATATCATATGTTTAACCTGGGACAAAAATATTTTTGTCGTCCCAGATTAAATTTAAGTGAATAGAAAAGATACCCTTTGTGACATGTCAGTTACACCATAATTTGTAAAGCAAATGTCCATTCCTTAAGCGAAAACTCCATTTCGTGGCCGAAAACTCCATTTCGTAGAGGCCAGATTATTTTCATAAATATGACTATTAAATAGGAAAATAGTAATATTAATTTGTTCAATCTGTAGTTTTATGTCAAAGGTTAAACATAAATTAATAAAAATAATATTACTCATCGCGGTTAAACAAACAAATGTCCATTTCGTAGGCGGTAAGTTCATTTCACGAAATGGAGTCCATTTCGCATTCTATTACAACCCCATGACATTGGAAGAAATGAATTGGCTACATTTGATTTTATGGAGCTTCAAATTTGGAGTGCATAACTAATACTTATATTGCCAATGCTACCTAAGTCAAATTAGAATTTTTGGGGTAAAAAAAAATGGGCATGATCAAAAGAAAATCGCATTCTTTTTGTCATACAGTAATGCTTAATTGATGGCAAAATTTTTTCGCCTACTGTATCATATTAAAATATTATGTATTACTATTTTTCAAAATTTCATTTGTAATGTTAAACATATATTTTTACAGGTGAAGTACTACTTGACAAAATACCTGCAGTAAAAACAGTTGTAAATAAGCTTAGCTCAATAGACAACACATATCGCACATTTCAGATGGAATTACTGGCAGGAGAAGATAACTATGTTACAAGAACAAAGGAAAATTCTTATGTTTTTGAATTAGACTTTTCTAAAGTGTATTGGAACACAAGACTTGGTAAAAATTTCACTAAGTTATCTTACATTTTACAACCATCATGAAAAGTTTTAAAAAAACAAAACAAAACAAAAAATACAGTCTATTAACACGCTTAACACTCTTCACCTATCAATCAGATAGAGCAACCAAGTGCATAAATACACAATATATGTACAAACCTAAAAAACAAATGCTTGCACGTCATCTGACATTATGTATAATGTCAGTAAACCAAGTAAAATTACTTCTATGCTCAATGTAGCTCAATATATTTGTAATGTCCTTCTGCGTAGCGGAAAGGTGATTATAGGAATGGCCTTCGTCTGTTTGTCTGTCCATATGAACATATAGATACTTAGGTGGCTATGGGAACAATAGGTAACAGTAAATTTCCTTTGATGCTATTCATTCAGTAAGCTCTTATGTTGCTACTTTTTCTCTTACATGGCTTAAAGAACAATAGAGAGAACAAAAGAGTCCGTCTGTCCGTCCGTAACATTTTAATGTCCGCTGCATAATTTTAAAACGGTTGAAAACATTTTAAAATAACTTGGCACAAGTGATCACCAAAATGAGACAATGTGAAGAGCTTAATAATTGGGCTGCTTCCCCCAAGGTCAAGGTCACACTTAAATGTCAAATGTTAAACAGTCTTCATTTCATAATGAAAAGTCCGCATATTGTGTCCGCTCCATTGGTAGAGCACAATAATCAATTCCCAACCCTGAAGGTCAGGGTCACACTCAAAGGTCCAATATAAAAACATTTATTTTTGATGTCCGCTCTGTAACTTATTGAGAGTTCAAAGGTTTTAAAATATTACTGGACACAATCTGCAGAGCTCAACATCCAGGTTGCTACCCCAAAGGTCAAAGTTATATATTCTTCATAACTTTTTGACTTTGTGGAAGATTTTAAATAACTTGGCACAAATAATCACTATCGTGAGACTATGTGCTTATGATATGCATTGCACAACACCAAGGTCATGGTTGGTAAAAGGTCAAGAAGTGCACTTTCATGTTCACTGCCGAAGGGGATTTAGCTGTCCTTCAGACTGCCTTGTTATCAATTCTTTTTTATTATTGGCATGTTAGAATGAAAATAAATGTAGATATTAATTTTTCTTGCATTATAGTATAATAACTTGAAAAATAATTATAAGGTGTTGCTGATTATAATACTTACTATGAATAACTGCAATTCATTTTAGAATTTGAGAAATACATTACTTTGGAACATTATATTTATTGTGATTTTTTTGGGTGATTACTTAACTGATCCTGCAGTTTGTATCACTATTTCAGACTTATTATTCCAGAAACTTGCTTTTATCAGTATTTAAAAAATCTTGTGTGAATGTTAGTAGCAGTAATGATTTTCCTGTGCCTCCCTGGAACAAAGTGAGCCAGTACTTCTTTGGTTTGGCTCTATACTGCTGACTGCTCAATTTCTGTTATTTACATAAGAAACCCTTTCATGTCAACAATAGATGGTTGCATATTGAAAATAATGAAAAATAATGATTATGAAAAATATGCAAATTCTTAAAAATAACAATCTTATTTTTTTATAGGTACAGAACATCACAGGATGACAAATTCCCTATCCTGTGGTGACATAGTGTTTGACGTGTTTGCTGGAATAGGACCATTTGCTATACCTGCTGCAAAAAGAAGAGCTACAGTATATGCTAATGATTTAAACCCATACTCGTATGAAAATTTACTTAAAAACATAAAGCTAAATAAATGTGACACAAGTCTCATAACCTGCAGTAATCTAGATGGTAGGGAATTTATAAATACTGTCATGAAAGATAAGCTGAAACAAATTTTTACAGAAGGAGTTGATAAAGAAGGGATGAATGTGTCAAATATATCTAGTATTTCAGTGCTAATGAATCTTCCAGCACTAGCATATACATTCCTTGATGCATTTAGCGGCATTCTGAGTGATGTTGACAATTTTAACACCAAAGTTCCCTTGCCAATTATAAATTGTTACTGTTTCACAAATCTTCCTGAGGCTAATGATAAATGGGGTGGAGATACAGATGCTGAGTTGAAACATAGGGTGACTAACATGGTAGAAGGTTTACAAGAAGATGATGTGACTGTAAGGTTTGTACGAGATGTAGCGCCACAGAAGCTGATGATGTGTGTTTCTTTCAAACTTACACAAGAAATCATGTGTGGAACAAAAAAAGTGAAAAGTAATAATACAGAGGAAACTGAAGTTACCACAGGTATGAAACATGCAAGTTTACATTTTCAATATATTTTCAAAATTGAAACCTCTCTATTGTAAATGCCAAAATATAAATAACACATAGGTTTGTGAAACATAAGAGGATGGATCAAGAAAACAATGTTTTTTTAGAAAATGTACCATTTGATCAGATTTTAACTTTAATAATTGTTACCTATGCAAGAGTACAAATTTCTTAGTCACATGGTTTACTAGCTTTTACTGTAAAAATAACACACATTGGCCTTTAACATTAGGGTACTAATTTGAAATAAATATTGCAACTCAAGACTTAGATTTGATTTAATTTCACTATTGATATCTCATTATTTGATGATAAAATTTTATGTTGTTTGATAAAGAAATCACTTTTTTATTACTTCCTGACATAATAGCAGGTGTTAAGAAGTAAAATCTATTCTGATTTATGTCATGTCTCACATACAGTACTTTAGTATGGTGAAAGAAGTACTGAATACATCACTGTTCTTTATATTGTTTTATGATTTTATAAGATGAACAAATATTGTAATGAAATTTATGCTTCACTACAGATGAACCCCCAGCAAAGTGTCAGAAGACCGAAAGCAATGCATCAGTTAGTACTGCTTGAGAAATATCCGGGGAATTTAATGACAGCCGTCAAAACATGAAGCTACCGTACTGATGATAAAAAACAGAAAGCAATGCAGAATAGATTTAAAATAGACTAGAATTTATGAGAATTCAGAATCCATACTTGTTGTTCATATTATAAGACAATTCCAACAGTCTTTTCCTTTAGTGAATGATGTAAAAGTGAAAGCTGTGTTTCCAAATGCCTGACCTCTTAACTGTCATACATGTATATACTGACATTTTTAAGCCTTTGTACCGGGTATGTTGTTTATAATTATTTCAAAGATAGTATGATTATGATAACATTTATTTTTATAAAAAATTCAAGTTTTGTATTTTGGTTGTTAATACTTTAAAGAATGTGGTAGTATGTAAAATGCAGTTTTCACAATGAATCTGGGATCATGTATATGAATCCAAAGATGTGGCTCATTCAATGCTGTCCAGCAATGTCTTATGACCCTTCACTGTTAAAAAACATGGCAGAAATGTTCATATTGATATATAGGATAATTGTTTGTTTTGCATGTAAAATTGAAATATATTTCACAGAGTGAACACCAGATGTAATATTTTCACGATGTGATATTTTTACGAGTTGCATAGCCAGAAGTAAAAATATAAGAACTGGTGTTCACAAGTGAAATATAATTTGATCTTGTATGCAAAACAAACAAATTTTCTATTTATTTCATGCTATTTTAGGTGTTTTAAATAACTTTTTACTGCGTTTTGCTGCTTAACGACATGTGCTCTCGTTCATGACCTCATCAAATCATGTTGTCACATGTCACTTTGGTGTTGAAAAATATTTCTGTAAATTTTACAAACTTTGTTACATTTTAAAATGATATGTGCAGATATTCATGTACTTGTCGTAATCAAGCATATTTAACTCACTATGGAGTATATTTCTGATGATATTTCTGCTTTATTAAAATATATTCTTTTCACTCTCATTTAGATATAGTCCGACTACTGTGAAAATTATATTTTATAATTTCACTGTGAAATTATAGAATATAATGTCACTGTCCACAGAAAAGCATGTAATAAATGGAAATGATAAGTTGATAACATTTCATTTTATTGGCAACAGTCAAATACCACGAGTGCTATGGCTATGAAAACATGTATTTATGTTTGACAATTTATGTTTAAACCAGTTTTTTTAGATTTTAATAGAACTAGAAATAAATATATTTATCTATTAATGATTGAATGCATTATGCATGATAAATGCTATCACAATCCACTGATGTTTTGTTTATTTAGTTACAACCCTTTGTCAAATCTTTAAACTTGTCTGTTCAGTTTGACTTAAACTTGACATTGAGGTAAGAGTATATTGTTTTTAAATGTCATCAAAATAACCTCATTAGTTACTGAGTTATGACATTTTTTATGCTTCTAGAAGGGAGAGCATAAAGTTGTCACCTTGTCTGTCCGTCCATTTAGCAGAACTTGAGCATAACTTGAAAACCTGTTGATATAATTTATTTAAACTGCACATAGTGGTAGAGGGCATTGAGGTGGAGTGCAGTTCTAAAGAACCATAACTATTTTGCCCCGTTTTTGAATTATCTCCCCTTTTAGGAAAATTTTGACTGGAGCATACCGGTAACCTGAAAACCCTTGTTTCACTTTGAACATGTCCGGGACATTACTGTGAAACTACAAGAGGTATCGACAAGAAACTAAGTCGGTAGATGATCTCATTTAGTAAAAGTGCAGTGCAAAGAACAGTAGCTCTACCTTGCCTTATTTTGGAATTATTGCACTTTGAACTTTGTCCGGGACATAAATCTGAAACTACAAGATGTGTACTTTTTTGTGTCCAAACCCTATATGGGGAGCATCACCTGGTTCAAACTGGCTCTTGTTTATTACCAGTACTGGTCTTAATCATCTTCTCAACTACGCAGTTTAAATGTTTAATTCACCAGAACTAATGGTTGATTTTGAGCCATACTGATTTTAATTTTGATGTCGGGGGTACTTTTTAGGTCAGGTGACCTACTGCCATCTGTTTTTGTGTGTCATGTATTATACATTAACATTTTAACATTTCAAGTTTCTTCTCTGGAACCAATGAACCAATTGTAACAGAATTTTGCATAAAGCATCTATGGGTGAAAAGGAAGAGAAATTTATGGCTCCTGCTGCTGGTGCCTGAGGGGTGGGGCTTAACCCATAAAAAAATATGCAATTTTTAAAAATCTTTACTCCTGGGCATCAAACAGTCAAACTGTTCGCATGATTGTAATAAGCACTGAGCCCTCTACCAAAATGGTGAAATTCATGGCCCCAGGGTCAGTGGTTCTGGTGCTAGGGTTGGGCAATGTTGAATATTTAGTGAAAGTAAATTATTTCTTGATAAATCTTCTCTGCTCCTGGGTATTTAGGAAACAAAGTTAATGTATAGTAATGATGAGAGAAGATGTATTTTCCAAAATTGTGAATTTCATGCTCCCAGGGTCAGGGGTTCTGTTTTTCGAACTATAACTACAGTTAGGCATGAGATATTGTAATCAAACTTAGTATTTAGCAAGCTTATATGAAGACCGGCTTGTTTTTGCTTTTGTACCCCCTTGGATCAAGGGTCACTGTAACTTAATATAGAAAAATGGTTTCTGGAGGTTAACACAACATTAGTTAAGAATTATTTTACACAGTAACTGTTGAATTATAGGTTAAGTTCAAAGTTTGCTTAAGACCGCTAAAATTTCACAAAAGTCAAGGTTTCTGGGGGAGGGGGGAGAGAATTAATCATCTTTAGTATAACAAGTACAGAGTCCTTAACACTATGGAATGCATGACCCCTTTGTTTTTAGGGTTCAGGCCCCAGGGAGAGGATGTAAGTTGCACAATATAATATAATATTATACAGAATATTATATAAAGACATTGTTATGAAATTAAAAAATTGATGTGATGATTGATGTTTTTAATCAATGTATTAAAGTTATTTACACAAAAAAGAAAACATATATAATCTACTGTAGAATACTCGGGTGACCTCCAAGGCCCATGGGCCTCTTGTTGTGTTTGGATTGAGAGAATATGTCAATCATCTTTGCTATTTAACTACTTTACGTGTTTTAGCTATGACCCATAAAATCGGTAACTTGTCTAATAACTGGTCTCTGGCAAGGAATTTTAGGGTCATCATTTCAGTGGTAATTATTATGTTCCCTTTTAAAGAAGTGGAGGTATATTGTTTAGCATCTGTCTGTCTGTCCATTGGTCTGTAGACTAAATGGTTTCCGAGCAATAACTAAAGAACACTTAGGCCTAGGGACTTCAAACTTGTTATGAGGGTTGTTCATTACCAGTAGATGACCACTATTGAATTTGGGTCAAAGGTCAAGGTCACATTGACATTGTAGGTAAAAACAGTTTCCATCAATATCAACCTGACAACCAATGGGCACTCTGCCGTCAAACTGCACAGATGCATTTGTCTTGATCAGTAGATTATCCCTGGTCAAAGGTCACGGTGACCTTGTAGGTAAACACGTTTTTTGATGAATCACTTGACAACCCATTTGCCCTCAAACTGTATATTGGTATTGGCCAGTGGATGACCCCTATTGATTTTGGGGTCAAAGGTCAAGGTAATCTTCACCTTGTAGATAAAACAGTTTCCGATCAATAATTTGACAACTCGTGGGCTGTTGGCCCTCAAACTTCATAGGTGGATTGGTCTTGGCAAGTATTTTATTTTAGGGTAAAAGGTCGTGGTCATATTGACCAAGTCGGGACCTATGGGCCTCCACCCTCAAACTGAATAGGTGCATTTGTCTTGGCCAGTAGATGACTCCTGTTGATTTTGGTGTCAAGGTCACATTGACCTTTTAGGCAAGAACAGATTCCGATCAATAACTTGACAACCCATAGGCCCTTGGCCCTCAAACTTCGAAGGTGGATTGGTCTTGCCAAGTAAATAACCCATCCTGATTTTGGGGTCAAGAGGTCAAGATCACATTGACCTTGTAGATAAAAACCGTTCAATGACTTGACAACCCATTTGCTCTTGGCCCTCAAACTTCGTATGTGGATTGGTATTGACAAGAATTAGGATGATCCCTTTTTATTTTGAGGTTAAAGATCAAGGTCATAATGACCTTGTAGATAAAATGGTTTCCGATCAATAACTTGACAAGCCATGGGCCTTTGGCCCATAAACTTCGTAGGTGCATTGATCTTGGCAAGAAGATGATCCCTATTGATTTTGAGGTCAAAGTTCAAGGTAACATTGACTTTGTACGTAAAAACAGTTTACGATCAATAACTTGACAACCGATTTGCTGTGGGCCTTCAAACTTCGTAGGTGCATTGGTCTTGGCAAGTAGTCATTACCTTGTAGGTAAAAAATAACTTTACAACCTATGAGCCCTTGGCCCACAAACTGCATATGTGCATTGGTCTTGGTCAATATATGACCCCTATTGATTTTAGGGTCAAGGGATCAAAGGTCAAGGTCATCTTGACATTGTAGATAAAAACGGTTTCCGATCTATAACTAGACAACTCATAGACCCTCGTCCCTCAAACTGCATAGGTACATTGGCCTTGCCCAGACGATAATTCCTGTTGATTTTGAGGTCAATGTCTAGGTCATATTGACCTTGTAGGTAAAAACAGTTTCTGAACAATAACTTGACAATTCATGGGCTGTTGGCTCTCAAGTTTCGCAGGTTGATTGGTCTTGGCAAGTAGATGACCCTTTTCATTTTGGGGCCAAGAGGTCAAACATCAAGGTCTTATTGACCTTGTCGGTAAAAAGGGTTTCCCATCAATAACATGACAACCCATGGGCACTTGGATCTCAAACTGCATAGGTGCATTTGTCTTAGCCAGTAGATGACCCCTATTGATTTTGAGGTCAGGGGGTCAAAGGTTAAAGTAACATTGATATTGTATGTCAAAACGGTTTCCTATCAATAAATGGACAACCAATGGATCATTGACCTTCAAACTTCACAGATGCATTGCTTTTGGGATCAAGGGGTCAGAGGTCAAGATCACATTGACATTGTTTAGGTAAAAACCCTTTCTGATCAATATCTCATCATGAACCCTTTACCTTCAAACTTCACAGGTTCATTGGTCTTGGCCAGTAGATATTGCACCCCTATCGATTTAAGGGTCAAATGTCAAAGTCACATTGACATTGTACGTAAAAACGGTTTCCGACCAATAACTCAACAACTCAAGCTGCCTTGTTTGATATTTTTATTAAACTAAAAATGTAAAAATACTTTTGGTATACACATTTCAAGGTCTAGAGTAATATAACAAATTGGCTGTCATTAAGGAGGCCTACATGATTCATAAAATGTATGCATGTATTATTTGCTAAGATTTTTTATAACTTTGGCATAAAATTGCAGCACACAGCCTTTGCGGACCACATGACTAACTGGCTGTCAGTAGGGACATACATGTTTTATAAACATATCTTGTTATAAATATCAGAACTGGACATGTTGCTTATTTATTGTTACAAAAAGAACAAATAACTTTGCAATTTTTTGCACATTTATTGGTCGAATAGTTACACGTGAACATTAATAAGTCCCCCTTTCTGTTGATCGTTCCGCCCTCTTAGCCATGCCATTCCTTTTTTGATAAGACTCCATTGGTTACTATCTGATGCAGCCCATCCCCACGCACCGGAGTATCCGTAGTAGTAGGCGTAGTTATACATATCTGTTATTGGATTAGTGCCACTTTCTTGGCGGAATTCACCAATTACAAGAGGTTTATTCAGTCCGAACTCGCTAGCATGGTGCTGCAATGGTAAGTGACCACAAGTTGCAATACATGTATTTTATTTCATTACTGCTAAAAATCAATTTTGCTTCATCTGGGAACTTTTATTGTGAAGTTAGTTAATCTTTATTGCGAAACAAATTCTTGCAACTTAAAAGAACAGATTCGAGTCCGCGCCCTGGATTTAGTTAATGCTGTTGCCATACAATTTATTAGGAAGCATGGTTCTGGTCCAAGTAGCGCTCTAACTCGCAATACCTGAGTTAAGGCTACCCTTACAAAACTTTTTTCTTTAAATTGAAAGGAATTAAATGAAAAAGCTAGTAACCCAGGTGTTTCAACATTGCAAAATCAATTTACCTGAAATGGAGAATATCCGTCAAAGTGACCACTGAAAGTATATGTATGCATCTGGTAAAATGAAAGGGTCCCCTGAAAAAAATAATGTTTTACATTTAGTCTATTTCTTAAATTGTTGATTCCAATGATTTGCTTTTCCTTATTTGATATATCGTTTGATGTCCTACAGTAATTCTTTATTTAATTGAAGTGTCAACTGAATGTTTTCAGCAAAACTATTTAGTATTCTAAAGATTATTTTGGTATAGTTTCTATTCCTGAAGTTCTTGTTCGCCTTGTATAAGTTTGATTATCATATAAGAGAACGCACATGCGCTTTCCCTCCTGCTGATGTAAGACAGTGGTCAGAATATAGGTTTCTGAATCCAAATTTGTCGGTATTTGATTTGGGATTCCATACACCAAGGGTTACCAAGGCGCCCGGATCGGTGGATCGTATAGCATCTGCTTGCCAGTTCACAAACCTAACAAATATATATTTTTATTTTTTCCACCATATAGATGAACATATGATATTTACCAGTAGTATGTTGTCATATAATTTTTACAACAATACATATATTATAATCGTAAGATATTTGAGCTGTCATGTTTTACAAACATATAATAAATACAACATTAACATGTCTTGTAGACATGATTTATGCAATCTTAACAAATACAGGCTATTTATAATCATTACAAACAAGATATATACTAGTATTATGAGTCTTTGTAAACATAACGTATTTGCCATCATTACCAACACATATTTGCGAGCATTACAAACACATGCTATTTGTAATTCTTAAAAATCAGTCATTAATCGCACATTGAATATTAATTATTACTTGAATTTGAATTTTCTCAATTTTGATTTTCTTAAAATATTTTGACTCATCGGGAGGCATACGTACAGTTTTAAAGATATATGATATCGCATAATTTGCAACTAAATTTTACTTCTGAATTTGAGCAGCAGAATACAAGTGGCCCTCCCATCCTGCGCCACTATTGTGAAGATGAGTTGTATCTTGACAAGGGTTGTTGCTATGGTGATCCGGTGTAAGTTCTCCCTCTGGTTCGTTTATTATCTCCCATCCTCCGAGAGCTGGTTCATTCTTTAGAGCATTCACCATTGGCTTTAAACAATGGTCGATGTAACTTTGTAGTTTGTTTGAATCTCTTATTAGGCCATCCAGTCTTAAACAAAGCAAACATAATGTATGTACCAGACAAGTATAAAACACGTACTTATGATTAAAAACCTTTTTTATGTTACTTGTAATAATATATTAGGGTTATTTCTATCTATTCGTAAAAAACGAGAAAATTAGGTTACTCTTCCGGAGGGAAAACGTTTATGCTACATATATTCATTACTAGATCTCCTTTTGTAAACCTGTAATGTGTATTTTGTTTCTTTGCGCCATTCCACAAGACGAAGAAGACAAAAACATTGAAATGTTTGGCAGAAGTTAGAAAGCTCCTCATGTCATTAATTAAACTTCCGGCTGCGTCTGTCTTGTCCACATATCCTTGACTGGTAAAGTGAGGTGAAGATTCTCCTTCAATGTGAAGCCATACCCCTTGAAGCAAAATTAAAGTATGGTTGACTTTAAAAAATCAATAGTTTAAGAATTGTTTAGTTTTTATTCGCAACTACGATTATAGACGCCTTCTGAAAACTTTATGTGCGCGATGAGTCGCGTATTTAATCATGTATTAGTGCAAAAGATTAGAGATTATTCATTATAGAAATTAATAACCTTGATGTCTTCAGCGTTTAAAAATGTAAGTAAAGAATCAGTACATAGCTATAGGAAGTAGGCTTCATGCCTCATCCGAAAGACTGTTAGTGATTTAGTTAGTGTAACAAGGGTCGAGCACCTAAAGCTCTAAAATTGTAGTCGGTTAGTGTAAGCACTAGACCATGCGTCCTTTGCGCAAACATAGATTTAAAACTAAAGCACCAATAACACCAGAATCATAAATGATAGAAAAGAATTTAATGTAGATATATTTGAAAGTATTTTTTTATCTTATCTTCATGTAACGACTCTTTTAAAAGTATTCCTCCGGCCCTAAACTAAACCATAGTCAAAAAAATGCATTGAAATAGAAAGAAATAAGAATAATACGCACTAATGGAGTTGCCACCTGAAGCATGGATCTGACTGAGGTATTGTTCGAACTGCGTTTTAACCCCACTATATTGGTTGTTACCAAAATCATATCCATAATGGACCCAGGCTAAGTTAGTTCCTGATAAAAAGACACGTTGTCCATCTTTTACTAAATTCGTTCCCTGCACATGAAGCCTTCCAGCATCACAGCCTTCGAAAATAAAGATTGTCATATAGCAATTACTATGTTGTTATTCAAAACTTTTCCCTGTTCCTTAGTAGGCTATTCACTGTTTCTGATGCATTAATGTCGCTGTCTGTTATAATGAATAACAATAAGATTAAAGAGAAAAAATATTATGGTTACATGTAAACTGTCGTTAACTCAATAGATGAAATACTTTCATGTATGAAACGGTTTAAGATAAAAATACAGGTATGAGTAATTCAATGTTCACATTATATCGCCTATCTATTTTGGGTCTTCTGAGGGGCATATGCAGTCTTCTTTCAAAAGCAAAGCTGGAAAGTCGCTATAAAACTTTTGCAGTGTCAAAGTGATTTGAAATACCACTTATAAGTTATTATTCGCATTGCCTTTCGCTTGTTCTACTGAACTTTAGACAAGTACAAGTATTTCTCCTTGGTCATACATGAACAAATGATATCGATTTAAACACTATTGTATTTATTAGCATTGCATAATAATGTACAAATAATCAAAGGTTTAATTGAGCAGGAGCTTTCCGAAGAAGAAAATAGCATCTTACAGTATATATAACCTTATTGTAAGTTATACAATAATATAATTTTGAATAAACAAAAATTACAGATTGAGAGAGGAACTTCATTTCTGTCATTATTTCAATATTAAGTTACTCCCCATTCAACGCAATATACATGTACTTACAATTAAACATTAAAGAAATCAGTGCAATGGCAACAGGAAAAACATGCCTTGTGTCCACCATGTCTGCGATTTAGTATCCCAGTTAATGCCCAAATTTTATTTAAAATTATAGACAGTTATGCAAGTTTTCTCTTATCAGATACCTTTACAACGTGCCTTGTCAACGTTGGTTATATGTGAAATTATCTCATTCCACTAGATTTGAACCATGTCAGAAATAATTTGATATATGAATTTATTAGTTTAGTAAAACAAAGAGTAAATGATGTGATTGATCAAAGTTGGTTTTCAGAATTAAATGACTCACAGAGAGCTCGTTCTTATGTTTTATTTGCAGATTTTAGATTTCAAAAAACTTGAAATGTATTGATATTGAATAATTTAGAATTGCACTGTCCCGGATTAGAGTTTCTTCACATAGACTTGAGGTTTAAACTGTAGGTGGAATAAATCTAGTGCTATACCTTTTGATGATAGGAAATGTAGAAAATGTTTTATTTTATAAAATGAATTTTACCTCATTTTAGAATGTTTGCTATATGGTGAATTACGAAAAAAAAATTTATAAAAAATACTTTTGGAAAAGACCAAATATATATAAATGTATTGCATTAATACATTTAGGAAATGACATAGAAATAAGAAACTTATCAATGTATATCTTTAAAGCATGTGATGTACGAAACACTTCTCTTTACAATTAATCAATGTTTGTTCCAAACGCTGTAACACTGTTTATAATATATATTTCAATTGGTTGTCATAAGTATTTATTTCCCAGTAATATAATTCGAGACATGTTGATTTCTTGTGTCACAAAGTTATAATAAGAGGATATTTTTTCGTTTGAGTGAAATATGGAATATATTTTCACGAAACATGATAAAATGCCACATATTTTCACGAGCCGGGACGGCGAGTGAAAATATGTGGCATTTTATCATGTTGAGTGAAAATATTAGATTATATTCTTAGTTAACGTTTCCTGATTGCCAAAAATACAGTGTAACGTATTGACATTGACTATTTGATTGTGTTAAATGCTTAATTGTATTTTGTAATAAACTCTTGAAACTCTTGTATTCTTAAACAAAACATTTAATGAGGATATATATTTTCCCAGTTTTAACAGTTTTTAAACACATTTCAGAAATATATACAATGTGGATAATAGATTTTGTAGCCACGAGATGGGGATAAAAGAATCGTAGTGTAACTATATTGGTTGTTCTGGAATATCTGGAATATTTCTCGTATAAGCAAATAATAAACCATCTCAATTCTTGTCAATATGGTAGATTTTTTAGTTCTTTATGTGCGTCACTGCTCGGTTTGTAGGATATCTTGCCGTGCATACTTGAGTAAAGTCGCAACTAGTAGTATTATAATGTTTTCATCATGAGTAAAGACACTAAAGATGTGAGGATAGTCGCAACGGAACCGAAGTAGTAAAGAATACATAGCTTAAAACGCTTTAACTCAATGTCCGTTTAATATCACGCTACAGATCTTTTAATATATTTTTCATCTGTTAAGCTATTTTGGCGTCGTTTTACTTTATATAAGCTATACACCTCTATAAAACAGAACCAAAACATTTATTTTCAATGATTTATAAACCGCAAATGTGGTTGGATTATAGTTCACATCATGAAAGGACTTAAAATAGTCTCATATTTATGTTTTATAATGTAATTCAGTACATTATGATTATATAAAGGGCATTTCAGTAAATTCTTTGTCTCTGTTTACGTCATGACGTGGTATTACCTTAAAGTTTATTTATTATAGCTTTAACGGAAGCTTTTCGTTGTTTTTTTCCTAATCCTCTAGGGATATCAAGTAAAGATTAAGTCCTTACACATGTTTATGTTTATTTGTCATAATGATACAAAAAGTAATATGGTTGAAAGCACTCTTTATGTAAATGGCATGATTTCACACTTAGATAATTATGTAAGCTGTTTGTCCTTTCACTACATAGGTAGCACAACTAACAATTTACTATTCTACAATGACGTCAGTCGACTGATTTCTTGTGTAACGTACATTGCATTTTACGTCCAAATACTTCAAAACATCATTACATTTAAATGCATTAATAATAAAACAGTTTAATATGAGGCTGTCTCAAAATGTCTTCAATGGTTGCATATTATGGGTTTATAATAAATCTTTTTAATATGAGACTGTCTCCAAATGTCTTTAATGGTTGCAAAATATTCCGTGAAAAAGATAAAGTTGTATGGAGAACACCTTCAGCTCGGCAGTTGTTCATTTGGAGCAAACGTTCCACTTTTTCTGCGGTACAAGGTCACCATTTCTTTCGTAACTAATGATGAAATAGGCGAATAGTAAACTTTAAGTAGACACCACGTGATTTTTCACAAATTTTGGCGCCAGCATTTTATTGTTTGTTCTTGATCCCCTCCCCTCTGATTCGGACCTGTCGGTATTGACGGGGGATTGTACCCGGCTGTTCTCATTGCTGCTTTCACTGTCCCCTTCTTTAATGTCAAATAATGTCCTAAAAAAGAAAATCAAGATTGCGTTAACCTTTTTTACATATCTTATTATGAAAAAAGGTATTTGCCATGTCAAAATTAATATCTCTAAATCCTAGAGGTAATTTATTTCTTATTTTCCTTACGTAAGATAACCATCAATAACAAGTGCTGATCAATATCGATTATTGTAAACGAAAATTTGAGACGCCATTCTATAAAGCTATTTTCAATCAATAGTAATTAGATACATCAAGATAAGACCGAAATGTTTAATCGAATACTTTATTCAATTTGATATAGCAAATTATACTATGAAAGTTATTTAGAACAGGCTTTCAAAATTTGTATTCTCTAGTATTATATAAAAGGTTATTTTACAAAAGACACATACGAGAAAAAGGTAAACGTAATTTTAGTAAATAAAAAGGACAAGTCATTGTGGATATAGTGAGGTCGCAAAAATACATTTTTTACGTTTTAATGTGATTTTAAGTCGCTTACAGGATATTTTTTGTAGAAACTATTACATGTAATGATCACTACAACAGATAATACTGTAATTTGTAAATACTCTTTGCATATTATGTTATTTTGATTAACAAACACTAATTCATATTTTTACCCTTAACAGACTCTACTTGATATTATAAATCGGCATGAGCTACTCCTGTCATTTGAGATTCAGATTTGAGCTTGGTTTTAGAAAGTGACTCACCTGCATTGCACCCTGCCGTCCAGGGCAAGTCGTAGGGCAATAATATTTATTTGTTCCGATGATAAGTCAATCTTGGTGTTCTGCAATTATACAAAAGAAATATTATTGTAACATTACTTAATTATGCCCCCATTTCGAAGAAAAGGGGGTATATTGCTTTGCACTTGTCGGTCCGTCGGTCTGTCGGTCCGTCGGTCCGTCGGTCCGTAGACCAAATGGTTTCCGAGTGATAACTAAAGAACCCTTAGGCCTAGGAACTTCAAACTTGGTATGGTGATTGGTCATGACCAGTAGATGACCCCTATTGATTTTGGGGTCAAGGGGTCAAAGGTCAAGGTCACATTGACCTTGTAAGCAAAAACGGTTTCCGATCAATAACTAAAGAACCTTAAGGTCTAGGAACTTCAAACTTGGTATGGTGTTTGGTCATGATCAGTAGATGACCCCTATTGATTTTGGGGTCAAGGGGTCAAAGGTCAAGGTCACATTGACCTTGTAAGCAAAAATGGTTTCCGATCAATAACTAAAGAACCTTAAGGCCTAGGAACTTCAAACTTTGTATGGTGATTGGTCATGACCAGCAGATGACCCCTATTGATTTTGGGGTTAAGGGGTCAAAGGTCAAGGTCACATTGACCTCTTGGGTGAAAACGGTTTCCGATCAATAACAAAAGAACCCTTAGGCCTTGGAACTTCAAACTTGGTATGGTGATTGGTCATGACCAGCAGATGACCCCTATTGATTTTGGGGTTAAGGGGTCAAAGGTCAAGGTCACATTGACCTCTTGGGTAAAAACGGTTTCCGATCAATAACAAAAGAACCCTTAGGCCTAGGGACTTCAAACTTGATATGGTGATTGGTCATGATCAGTAGATGACCCCTATTGATTTTGGGGTCAAGGGGTCAAAGGTCAAGGTCACATTGACCTTGTAAGCAAAAACGGTTTCCGATCAATAACTCAAGAACCCTTAGGCCTAGGAACTTCAAACTTGGTATGGTGATTGGTCATGACCAGCAGATGACCCCTATTGATTTTGGGGTTAAGGGGTCAAAGGTCAAGGTCACATTGACCTTGTAGGTAAAAAAGCTTTCCGATCAATAACTTAAGAACCCTTAGGCCTAGGAACTTCAAACTTGGTATGGTGATTGGTCAAGACCAGCAGATGACCTATTGATTTTGGGGTCAAGGGTCAAAGGTCAAGCCACAGTGACCTTGTAGGTAAAAACGGTTTCCGATCAATTAACTAAAAACTCTTAGGCCTAGGAACTTCAAACTTTGTATGATGATTGGTCGTGACCAGCAGATGACCCCTATTGAGTTTTGGGTCAAGGGGTCAAAGGTCAAGGTCACATTGACCTTGTAAGTAAAAACGGTTTCTGATCAATAACTTAAGAACCCTTAGGCCTAGGAACTTCAAACTTGGTATGGTGATTTGTCATGACCAGCAGATTACCCCTATTGATTTTGGGATCAGGGGTCAAAGGTCAAGGTCACATTGACCTTGTAAGTAAAAATGGTTTCTGATCAATAACTAAAGAACGCTTCGGCCTAGGAACTTCAAACTGGGCATGGTGATTGGTCATGATCAGCAGATGACCCCTATTGATTTTGGGGTCAAAGGTCAAGGTCACATTGACCTTGTATGTTTAAACGGTTTCGGATCAATAATAAAAGAACCCTTTGGCCTAGGAACTTCAAACTTGGCATGGTGATTGGTCATGACCAGCAGATGACCCTATTGTTTTTGGGGTCAAGGGGTCAAAGGTCAAGGTCACATTGACCTTGTAGGTAAAAAACGGTTTCTGATCAATTAACTAAAAACGCTTAGGCCTAGGAACTTCAAACTTTGTATGATAATTGGTCGTGACCAGCAGATGACCCCTATTGAGTTTTTGGTCAAGGGGTCAAGGTCATGACCAGTAGATACTTGATAACCCTTATTAATTGTTTGATCACTGGGTCAGAAGTCATGCATAATAACCTCATCACATGACTAATTGGCTGCTGATAGGGGGCATACATGTTTTACAAACATATCTTGTTTACTTGAAATTACCAGTACAGAATGTTATCTTGTTGCACTAGAATACGCAGAAAAGGTTAATAAAGCTAAAAAAAAGTCATGTAGCCTGAAAAGAGTATTTATTTGATTGAGTTTTGTTGCGACACACATTTAGCATAGCTTTACATTTCATAATAGACTCTCTGTGTGTCAATAAGAATATTGTTATAACTAATGTTCATGACTTCGAGCAATGTATTTCAAATAATTGGACTGTTTCCCTGCTACAAAAACATTCTCTATATTGAACCAGAAGTCTGCTGGAATGTTATTATGGACATTGAATCAGTAGTTACCTTTATAATGGTTTTGAATTCCTTTATATCTATAGTATACTCTTCGTCTAAGTATGGAACAAGCAGCTCTCCGAGATCAACGTCTGCTCTACCTGCATTATGTTTAAATGTTCCAATCGGATCTATCCGGAATGCGGTAAGCCGAGCACTGTTTGTACGTGCAAATTCTGGTATGACTCCTTCATTTATTATTTTCATTCCTCTTTCATCTTGAAGTCTGCATTGTAACTTAGCAAAGTTCATTTTCACCATTATATTCTGGAAAATATATAAATAGATTAACCACAGATCACACAGACTTGTAAGACTAATTATGTGTTTAAATTTCTGATAACTGAAAACTTGAAAAGCAATTAGCTAGAAATAATGTCCCCATCCTGATAGGTTGTAATTACACGTGAATGATTCAAGTTCGTGTCCAGGAAATTGGAGAACTATTAAAGTTGTAATATTTGATTTATAGCGATCCATCCCGCTATATATTGAATTTCATCATGTCATGACTTCAAGAAAATATGTAAATCATTACTTGAAGGTACTAGCATGTTGGACTCATAGATAAATGGTATTTTATTGACGAATTTTGGTTTATGTTCAAAACTTGATGGAGAGAAACAGATATAGAAAATATTCAATTTAAAATAAGTTGATAACATGGTTAAGTCTATAACATAAAACGAGCGTATCTCTTAACTTCCCGTTACTTTTTGTATACTTTTCCATTTACCTTATAGAGTTAATGAAAAATAAAATTGTACTTGATCTGTTTGTTTTATAAACTTACACTGAAATCCAGCAGTTTTAATTCTGATGAATCATTCATGTCGACAGCTTGCAATATTTCCATAGCACCTTCCTGGTCAAAAGGGTTGGACCCGCACTGAAAATAAAAGATAAGCTTATCATTACGTTGTCAAAATAGTTTGATCTGATAATTTTTATATCTTTTTATATTATGACGTTCTAAACAATTAGGTGTTAAAAAATCAACAGTGAACTGTTCTGTCAAAGAGACAAAATGTTAAATTACTTTTATTTCTGTAATGAAATTGTTTACATATTTATTGTGCGCCTCGTCCAGGACTAGTGCCATATGAAAGAAAGCAAAACAAAAAAGCATGGCCATGGCAAAAGTAAAGCTACAGGTTAAATAATTTACCTTCAGCACTGTAAGGGTATCATTTTCTTTCACCCCTTTAGCCAAGGCGATTGCACCCTCCATGTTTATCCTGTTTAGACTAATATCTAGTTCAAGCAGTGTTCTATTTTCCCGCAATGCTCTTGATATTGCCTCGGCCCCTTCCTTACCTAATCCGGCCATAGACAAGTTGAAACTTTTCAAACCAATATTCTCCTATAGAATGGAAAAAAGAACACAATGAAATAAATGCATATACCTTAAACTAATCATTCATTTGTTTTTTGTTGTTTTTTATTTTTGTTTTTCGTTTTTAATTAACAAATAATTTAAACCGAATGTAAATAAGTGTGATGCAATTATAATATTAGGCCTACCAAAAAATATCGGACATTTATGAAAATGATGTATCAAAATTTCAAACTAGTTCATGAATAAAATACAGTACTCGGAGGATGCAGTGTAATTTGTGTTCAAGAGATTGTCATCCTTTTCAGCTTTTTCTAATAAAAGAATGAGTTTTACCTGTAACGCTTCTGCCAATAATGTGGCTCCTTTATTCTTAAAATTGTTCCAGCTTAGATCGAGAACTTCTAGCGTTGTATTGTCCGCTATAGCAGATTTAAACAATTTAGCACCTTCGTCCTCAAAACAGTTGTTGCCTAGCAACATTATCTTTAAAAGTTTATTGTTCTGAAAGAAAATATTTAAAATTATCAATTTTAAGTTTAGAAAGACGTTGCCACAGAATAAAATATGATATCAATAACAGGCTTCATGTGTACGAAATTCAAACTGAATGTCATGTTATAAACATGTACTCATTACATGTATCTTTTCATTCAAATTGAAAATAGATTGTCTCTGAACTGAATAACTTCATTTCATGATCTTTTTATTCTAAGGAATTACATGATAACATTTTTCTCTATGTTTGTTATAAGAGTGATAGTTTAGCACCATAAACAATAATAATGTGTTGCTATGTAACACAGATAAATGCTGGAAATAAGTTTATACAATGATAATATATTATAATATAATAACAAAATCTTGATTTCGTTAAGGTATAAGTGCACAAAGTTGATGAAAAACTAAAATACATCTTATTTTCATATAGCCTTCCAGAGACGAAAAAAAGTAATTATTTATCACAATAACAAGAAAATTTAAGAAAAAGAAGGAAAGCAAAAACGTTTAAAGCAACAACAACAATACAAGCTATCACTACTTCCATACATCAATAAATTGGTTACATAAATAAATTGATAGTTATTTTTTACAAAACATTCTACGACAGACAATCATGAATGATAAATGATTTTAAGAATTATACTTTAGAAAACGTTTACATTTATATTTAGAGGGCTGTAGTAAGGTTCTTGATTTTATTTCTAATATTTTTCCACATTTTCATACTGTAGTTAGAAAAAGTATCCTTCATACAATCGGTACGCGCAAGATCGTAATATACTAGTATATAGTTCAACACAGAGTATATATAGTTCTCGTTTCTCGTTTGAAGAAAAACTTGGATTCTGTTTGGTTTATAGTTTTAAATACAAGCATATAGTTCAATAATATTTACATCTGTCTGTAAAAGTAAGCCAGTTTAGTCTTTTAAACAAACCGACAGTTGTTGACCTTAATGGATTTTTTAATATTAGTTTTGCAATTCGATTTTGTAACATGTGTATTTGTAATGTAGGTTTTGTTATCTTTACCACAAAGATTGCAACTGTAGTCAATTATTGGAAAAATGTACGCAATGAAAATCAACAATAAGAAAACATACAATGCGTTTTAAAAGGACTGCTTTAGAGTTTAGTTGTTTTTTTTTGCAACTACAAATAGAATTTGCACTATAACATTTTCTAATATTGTCTTGTGTTGTACTTTCAATTTTAGCTGACCTGTATTTTCAAACTTTTGCTTAGATCTAATAACCATGCATTTGGTTTTCCAAGGATGAAGGAACATATTGTTTTGTGTACACTTATACAATACTTACATTTATAACATCACAAAATACTTCTGATGCACCATCTCCTATGTCATTATTTGTGAGATCAATTCTGTACAGATTTCTGTTGTTTATCAACATCTCCGCAATGGCTTTGCCTCCTTCTGTTCTCAAATTGTTTTCTGCCAGCACCTTTAAATAAAATTATAATAACGTTAATTCATTTATGGCTTTTTTTCGGGGATTTAAGAGCACCATGAATTTCAATATTGAAAATATTGTCTACAGGAGATTGCACAAGTTAATGTCACCTGTTCACTTCAACTGACGGTCATGGTCATGTTTTCTGCAGTACTGGATAGCCAATGATCCGGGCTCGAGTGTTATGCAAACAAGCTTACATTAGCTATATCTCGGTCAAGCATTAATATATGCACTTTCGTTGTATCTAATGTAATGTATGGTTTATACAAGAATTTTCATTTAACACCCATGCATTTTAGTGATTATGTATTTATTATTCTATACGCAGACAATAAGAAAAATGTCTCTCATTGACAATCAAAGGAGGCAGTGAATAATAATGGTAAAATAAATCTGTAAAAAGGCTTGCACTCTATTATTCATACAGTGATATTTAATTGTGATCTCACTATAATAACAAAATAATTGCTTTTATATGGTCGTATTCTTTCTTTTTAATATAACTGATCTTATTTCTCGTTCTATTTGTCGATGTAACTTCCTTTGTGCTTGTGAAACGTGAAAGTAGTAAAATTGTTGAACAAGAATATTGGAAAACATCGCAAGTTTTAAGATCGGTTGATATATTCAAATATAGATGCGAAATCAATTTTCAGTGCATACAATGCGTTATCTCTGTAAAATTAAAATGTTCCCTTTGCTATAGAAAAAAAACCTATTGAGCAATTTACGTCACTTTCTTTATTAACATACAATACAGGTGTCTTTATTTATTCAGATAAAATTCAAGTTTGAATTTTAAATTCAGCGTATAAATGGTTCAGATATAAACAAATCTAAATTATAGATATAAACCTATCTGGGAGATAATATCTTAAATCATTCCGTGCCAAACAAACGCGGTGTCTTATATTTGTGTATTACAAATACATTTCTTATCATTAAATCTTGTGTAATAGTCGTATATATAAGTTAAGGTAATTCTCTTCTAATCTACTGAACGTTTCAATCAGTTGGGAATCGTTTGGCAACCCCTATAGAGTTTTAATTTATTACTTATTTGTCGTTGATGTTATAACTAAGGTGTTAACTACCATTAAGATCTCATATCAAAGACAGGCCATGATAAATTTATATTTAATAATAAAGAATTTTGCTTTGTAACGCTAAATATTTTTTGTTAACAAAAACTGAATGCAAGATTTCATAAACATATTTTGCTATATATATATATATTGGTTTGATTAATACAGAAAGATAAGAAACCAGTTAGTTATGTATCTCTGAAAAAAATATACAATAAAAAACGTTATCAGCAAGCCATGTAGGCATTATTTTTGAAATACATGTTTCTTATATAATTAGTGTCGAGTTTTCCCTTACTTTTATTCGGTGATGTTATAAGGCACTCGCCCCGTCCGAAAACGTGAAATAATGAAAATTGCTATTCGAAAAGAATATTCATCATTTGTTCTTAATTCAAACATTTTAAAGATAAACATTGATAATTTTCTTATAACATTTTCATTTTGAGATGTTTCTTATATAATTAGTGTCGAGTTTTCCCTTACTTTAATTCGGTGATGTTATAAGGCACTCGCCCCGTCCGAAAACGTGAAATGATGAAAATTGCTATTCGAAAAGCATAATATTTGTAAATTACAGATAGAAATATGTTTATCTGCATTGTTTAAAATTTATGGATTAATACATTTCAGTATTTTAAATATGTGTTTGGTCAACAAGGATTTTGTATTTTAAGATTGATTACTTACCGGCTATGAAATTCAAGTAAAACCATGAAATTACAGTACATCATGATTATGCATATGCTTTGTTTACAGAATGTTATTATTTCAATTTCGTCAAGCATGCAGTTTAGTGTTTTGTACTGAGAAAACTCGTTATGGACATGTAGAAAAATGATAATTTGAAGGAAAAAATGTGTTTAATGTTTACGTACCAGTTCTGTAATAAAGAAATTTTCTCGTAATACTTTAGTTAAACATATTGCACCGTCCTCATCTATTGCATTGCCTTCTAGGTTCAATATCTCAATATTTGTGTTCATCTAAAAATATATACAAAATAATCATTACACCGGTTATTGTAAAATAATTCGCCAAAAAGATCTGACTTGAAAATAATAGGCTTTGTTTACAATTTGAAATTCCGTTACATTGTTTACATCCGTTTACATTAACATAATTTTAACCGTTATAGTTATCAAATAAATTTAAGTTTATACTTATCATTATAAGATATACCCGTTATTTTTACAAAATGTGTTGGAATAAAAAGCGATGTATCCGTACGTATATAAGTTAAATACAATTTTTGAATTAAAAGTAAATTGTTCTTGACACATGCTTTGAAAAAAATCAACATGTTTATGATTTTCTTCCAACAATATTTCAAAATGTCTCATATCAATTATTAGCGTCCTTGTTAATTTCAATCGTTATTTTGAACGTTACATACCTTTATTTTTTAACAACGTTTTCCATAATAAAGTTGTCATACACTTGTGAAATAATTATTCTTTCTTCATTCTTGCCCTTATAGGAAACTTTTAAAAAGCGTTATCCATATAAATGAAATAAACCATTGAGAAAACAAACCTGTAAAGGAATAGACAATGCTTTCATTCTTTGTGGTCCAAGACCATGGAACTTCATTTTAAGCTCCCTGTCTTGAATGTGTTTTATAAAATATGTTGTTGGACTGATACCCATGTCTTCACAAACTTTCACGTATTTTGCTTTCCCCGTTAAGTCAATGTCAAACCTCTCAGGATACAGCCATTCTGTAAAACAAAATCATAATTATATATTCAAACTTGCTATCTGACATTCATAGCTTAAGACTGGATGTTTAATGTTTCTGTATCATATTTTTAATATACTGAGAGATATTTATGTATATTATTCAGTGAATGTTTGCCCTGTTATTATTTCAGGCCCGTATTATTATTATTATTATTATTATTATATACGTCATTACTTCATATAACATTAAAAGCACAGCATTAGTGATTCTGTGGGTTTTTTTTATTTCTTTTTAAGTTACTTTGAATAAATATAATGAAAAACTGGTTATACGGCTTCTCAGTCACCTGTTTCATAAAGAAGCCGTTTTCGATCTCATGCTAAAATGATAAATAACGATATAAACTTACTTTCCTCGTCGAATTCTAAATCAGTTTCATAATCTCCATCTTTTGATTCTGTGTCAGAATTTTCACAACTAGAGTCCGAGTATATTTCATCAAAATTTTCACCGTCACTATTCAACCGTTCACATGGACCATCAACAACGTCTTCCGCGGCATCATTATCAGTTTTATTTGGAACATATTCCGTTTGCTTACTTTCAGTCATGAAAATCTTCTTATGGTCCTCGCTGATATTAAGTTCAGGATATAGTGGTTCTTGTCTGTCAGTTGGCTGTCCGTCTGTTCCAACCTCGTCGTCTTCTATTACCGGTGTCAACATGCTGTGCCGTCTTTCGTCTGACTGCGGAGCTTGGGAACTCACCGACAGAAATACGTCGCCTGTTGACGTCATACTTTACACTTACTGCGTTCCTTAAGAAACTGTGAGAATTATGTGGAGCTACATGTTCCTATTCGGTGCTTCTGAAAAGAGATCAAAATTGCTTTTAATCAACCGGAAATAAGTAAATACCAAATTCTATCAAAGATAGAAAAACATAACGGAAAATGTTGATTAGATATAAACATTCACGTTTGCAAAACTTCTGATAAACAATAGATATACATCAAATGGAAATTGTGCATTGTTACGTAGACAATATAAACTTGGACCGGTATGTAGTTCTCCCACCGGAAGTGGAAGAAAGCACCACAACACGTAAAAATACGGACACTCATGTGAACTCTTTTGGAAACAAATTATTGTCAATGTGTAAAGAAAATAACCTGCGTATTGTTAATGGCCGGCTAGAACCCGGCGATTGTACTTTTCATTCTAAATATAGAAACAGATCGACACAGAGTACAGTAGACTATTTAATAACAAAGTTTGAGAATTTTTCATCTTTAAATGATGTATGTGTTATGGACATGACTGAGTTTTCTGATCACTGCCCAATTTCTTTTTCAATAAGCTACAAAAATGATTTAAATATTAATTATACCAGACCTGAAAAACAACAAAAAATTATATGGAACAGCGATGAAACAGAATCTTTTTTAAATCTCCTGGAGGCAAAAAGGCATATATTTGACAATTTGTCACAAAAACTTGTGTCGGGCGAAACTGATGTTGATAATTGTGTAAATTCTTTGTCCGACGAAATTTTTGAAATCTCTTTTAAGTGCTTTGGGAAAACATTTTGTCAAAAGCCTTGTAAAAAGGTTAAAAAAGCTGCCTGGTTTAATGTGAATTGCAGAAATGCTAAAGCAGATTTTCTGAATAAAAAAAGAGCCTTTAATGTAAATAAGTGTAATGATAATAAGTTGTTATTCTTGTCAAGTAGACGGGAATATATAAAGGTTAAGAGACGAGCAAAAGCGATATTTTACTCTAAAGAAAAAATTAATATGTCACAAATGTCAAAAACCTCACCGCGTAAGTTTTGGAAATACATAAATAAATTCAAACGTAGCCCGTCTGATAGAAACAACTTAGATTCAGATAGTTTTGTTAACCATTTTTCAAATATCTCTAATTTGCAGCACAGTAATTTTAATGCAGACAATTTTATTCAGTCACGTGATGCACCGTTATATATTGAACAGTTAGATTGTCTGATCAGTGTGGAGGAAGTGTCGAAAACTATATCTTTGTTGAATAGAAATAAGAGAGCTGATTATTGACTTTTTCATTGATGCTAATATATTTATAAGCCCATATTTGTGTACTATTTTCAATAAAATCTTTGAGACTGGCATTTACCCAGAAGCATGGTGTAAAGGGGTAATTGTACCTATTTATAAGAAAGGTGATCCCGAAAATCCTTCAAATTACCGTGGCATCACGTTAGTAAATTGTATGGCAAAAATATTTTCCTTAGTACTACGTAATAGGTTAAATAAATGGTGTGAATCAGAACAAATTTTTAACGATGTTCAGTTTGGTTTTAGAGATTCTAGATCTACAGCTGACGCTATTTTTATTCTACATTCCCTTATCCAGAAGATACTTGACAACAAATCAAAACTATATTGTATTTTCATAGATTATGAAAAAGCGTTTGATACTGTAATAAGAGATGCATTGTGGATTAAATTGATTGAAAATGGCGTTAGCTGTAAAATGGTTACTATGTTAAAATCCATTTACTCTTCTGTATTATCTTGTGTCAAAATTGATTCTAAATCTAATTTTTCTGATTTTTTTGAGGTAACTCTAGGCTTAAAACAAGGCGAGCCATTATCTCCCTTGCTGTTTATTTTATTCCTTAATGATATAGATCAGTGTATAGATCTTAACAAAATGTCTAACAACGACCTAAACCTTTTATCTAAATATTTGTTACTTTTTGCGGATGATATTGTGTTGTTTACAACTGACCCTGCAAGCTTGCAGGCACAAGTTGATAATGTTTTTGAATATTCATGTAAATGGGGTTTGAAGATAAATGTTAATAAAACTAAAATATGTGTATTTGAAAAACGTAAGTCAGTCCATAATTTTAATTTATTTATAAATGGTCAATTGATTGAAAAAGTAGATAGTTTTACATATTTAGGAGTGAAATTTTCTTACACAGGTAGTTTTGTTGAAGCTGTGAAAGCACTATCAGATCAAGGTCTAAGAGCTTACCACAATCTTCTCGCACTCTTTGATAGAGTTAAATTCGATGTTAAAACAAAATTATACTTATTTGAAAGAATGGTAGCTCCAATCTTATTATACGGGTCAGAGGTTTGGGGTATATATAAGCTGAAAGATATTGATAAACTACAGATAAGATTTTATAAATATGTTTTAGGTGTCAAAAGACAGACCCCAAATTGTGCTATCTATGGGGAACTAGGTAAATTTCCTTTGTCTGTTCTATGTAAGGAAAGAGCTTTACAATTTTGGAATAAAATCGTTAAGCGCCAGCAGGCGCCTATATACCATATTTATTTAGACCAATGTATTAATGGGAATGATAAATGCTGGGCTAAACGCGTTCACTCTGTTATTACTGATATGGGCTTCCCGTACATTATTTATGACTATGCAGTTAATGTCAATTATAATATGTTATTTAAGCAGAGAATAAGAGATCAATTTTTACAACAGTGGCATGACTGTATAGATAATATGCCAAAGCTTGACTACTATAAGAAATATAAAACACAGTTTTGTTTCGAGGAATATCTTAATTTTGTAAAAAATGACAATTTACGTAAACAATTATCATGTTTTAGATTATGTTCTCATTCCTTAGAAATAGAAACAGGTAGATATATGAGAACTGATAGAAATAACAGATTGTGTAAATTATGCCCGTATAAAAATGTTGAATCAGAATACCACTTCTTATTATGTTGTCCCTTATATTCAGAACTGAGAAAATCTTTTATAAAACATGTATCTTTTCCAACTTTAAATAAGTTCTATTCTATTATGTCATCAGGAAATAAAAGTAGAATATTGCAACTATGTAAATTTTTAGATAAAGCATTCGCATTAAGATCTAGTGTTTTAGAAACAATGCAAGAATTGTAAATTTGATATGTTTCTGCATTTTATGTGAACATTGTGTATTTGTATTGAATGTATTGAATGTATGTCATATTTCAAGTGATTTATGTATGTTTTGTATGTATTGCCAAAGGCAAAGTTTTGTCGAAAATGCAATAAAATTTGAATTGAAAAAAATTGAATTGTTAAATGAACTTGAAGTTATATTTGTATTGGTTAATGGATATTACCGGTGTGCGGAAACATTGAAAAACAAACAATTGAAATAGTCGCCTCGTCATCGATCCAATATTCTTATCTGGTCCACATTCAAAAATGAGTACTCTAAATATTCTATCTACTAGTAATCATAGTAACAATAATTGTCTTTTTTTATTTTGGAAATAACATGATGAACATAGTATAGTTTATCCATATGAAATTGTCCCAGAGGTTTATGTTTATTTTATATTAAGTATACTAAATTAATATTTTTAGGAAACTAATAAAACAAATCAACATTAAGGTAAACTTTTAGATAAATACATTATATGATATCGAGTATGTTTACTTACAAATACCTTATTTTTGGGATAAAATATATATTTTACATCACAGTAGAGATTAACAGATCAAAGGATAATCCATGTCAGTAGGTTAAGGCGAATATCTGTTTGAATTGTGCCCTACATTTCAATCATTTAAATCCCCCTTCACCTTAACAAAAGCCGATTATGGAAAACATGTAGCTATAACCTTGATTTACAAAAAAAGTTTAATATTTTAATCGATTCGATTTCAGTTCAATATATTTAAGAATGTATCAATTTTAATTCAATTAGAGTTGTTTACATTATGAACACGCAGATTTTCGAAACATGTATTTTTTTTTACGAAAATAAAATTTTAACGCCTTATACTATTGGAATCGGTTTCAAAAATTTATTTAAATGCTTTATATCATAAAAATGAAAAAGTCAATTAAAATGTTTTTTTATAGCAAACACATATTAATTTCCGAATTACCGTTCGAGGAATAATTCATATTTCAAATTTGCAATGCGTATACATGCAGATTACAATATAATAAAACGTGTATAATTATATACTATTTTAATGAATGTTAGAATTATTAAATAATAATAAAATACATTACCTGCGAAAAAAAGCCAGATTTTCAAATGTATTGTTCAGACTATAGAAACAGTATTAAAAGTTTACTCTTTCACTATTTAATATAGAAATTCCTGTGTTGCTTTAATATATGGCATCAAATGTCCACATGCATTAAGGCAGATTTAAAATAAACATTTTCCTATCACTAAATCACGTTAATAAACTCTGAAATTATCGTGATTGTCGTAAAACTGTCAAACGCACAAAACTGTCATATTGTTCCTAAGACGTAAACTTTCACAGTGTCGCAAAATCAATATACTGTCAACGGGTTTTGAAATATTATAAAAATGATATCAAACTAAGTAATAATAGGAGAACGTGCTACATTATAAAAAGAAATGTATTATAGTATAGTCTGTATGACGATTAAATATACATGATTTAGTCATGTACCTGAGGTGTAAAATAGTGTCATTCTTAATGCATCATAATTTAACCTGAATGAAAATCTATTATATTTCTTTATTCGTGTCCTTATGTCGAACTTAGACTGAACAAAGATTTTACTTAACATGTAATTTTATGGGATTCCCGTGTCATTATGTGAATCTATATTTTGCTATTTTGAACCGCTTTATCTATCACGAATTACCACGATCAGAATAAAGCAATCACAATTTCTCTGATTTCTTTTATTTTCTTTTTTATCCGTTCATAAAAGATATAAAATGCATCTTATAATTATTAGAATCGTTTAAACGCCAAAAAAGCGCATGTGAATATCTAGAATAGTGGAAAATGAAAAAAGTAAAAAAAACAACAACAAAAAACTATGTTTTTTTGAGAATGTTCATGAAAAATAAAAAAAGCGCATTAC